CTTCCTAGGTTTGAAAGCCAACGAGCTCTCACCGACATGTCTAGTCAAAATGGATGAAGCTGGAGAGCTTAAAGAGGCAGCTCATGAGGTCGGATTAACACCCGAAACCTCGTTGCCGAACCGATGGCCCCACAATGCCGAGTTGGAAAGGGACATTAGGGAAGAAAAGGAATGTTGCAGATCTATCCACCTCCAGAGTGGGTTGCCATACGATCTACACACTCACTCCTATCCCTTTGCGTGCCTCTCCATGTCATTCGACAGACCTGCAACATTCGACAAGGCTAAGACCCAATGGGAAGCCTTGACAAAGTCGAAGTTCGATGGCATTAGGCATTGCTTTGGTCAGCTTGTCTATTACCGTAAAAAGGGCATTAATAAGCGCACTCTAGAACCCAACTTGGCACCTGCTTTGTTTTTGGGCTGGAGGGTTGACGCAGGCCTTCGGTATCGCCATGTGGTCAAGGTCCTAGATTATCAAGAATTTAGGACTCGTCGAGCGATTGTAGTGCATGATGTCCCGGAAGCAGAACTCTTCGTTGAAGAAGGTGAGCCTTGCTTCCCCGTTGCGGCAGCAGCCCACAAGGCGCTGCGGACGGGGGAAGCCGAGGGTGAGCTACTTCTCTTAAAGAGGTTCCGTTTAGCGAAGTAGCTGCACCGCCGACTCCCGCTCCAGGCACGCCGCGAGGCGTGTACATCACTGTGGATCGGGTAATTCGGTTCCGTGAAACACCAGGTTGTCGAGGTTGTACTGGGCGCACCCGGTACCATACCCCCGAATGTCGACGCCGCTTCGCAAGGCTTGTCGATACAGAGAAAGCCGAGGAGCGCTCCAAGCGATCGGCTGCCGTCGAGGTAGAGCGGCCACTTCGCGCCTCCGAAGCGATTGACCCAGTTCATGCAGCCGAGGAGGCACGTCTCGAAGAAGACGATGCCGACCTTAAAAAGGCACTTGAGCTTTCCCGCCTTGAAAAGGCAGATCTATCTGATCCCGATGAGCTCGAGAAAGCACTGAGGGCATCCGAAGAGCATGATGATGCTCTTCGCGGCAAGCCAGCTCCGTCTCGGCCAGGGGGGATTCCTCCAACCGCGCCGCCTGCAGCCACAACTGGCGCGGCGGTGACAACAACCACTGCAACCTCCACGTCACTCACGTGCCACGTAGCCGACTCCTTCACCAAGAGGGAGGCTCGGACTCTGCCAGTGTTCGGCATGCCATGTTCCAAAAAAGGAGCCATGCAAAAGTTTTCCGTAGGGAATAAGAGGGCCCGCAAGCGTATCGCGCGGGGAAATTCTATATGCCTGTAATGTTCGAATATGCTTGTTCAAGTGACTCCACTATGGGAGCAGTGCATCAAGCATTGGGCATTCCCCACGTGAGACTGGCTAAAGAACACATCGATCTTGAAACCAATGAAGGGGATGAGCAACTGACCGCTCAGTTGAAGTCTTGTAGCAAGCCTAACATGTGGGCAGCCATTCCGTGCACCTCCGGGTCGCCATGGCAAAGGCTAAATGTTCATAAGTATGGCAATAAATACAAGCAGTATCTCCGTGCACAGGTTAAAAGGTCGGAGGCGTTGTTCGCAAGGTTCACAAAGCACGCCGAAGTAGTGATAGAACAAGAGGGTCACGTCACTTTCGAGTGGCCTCGCCACTGCGAGGGATGGGAGCGCCCCGACGTAAAGGCATTCTTCGAGAAGCATGCGTCTCGCTTCCACTCAGTGACTTTCCACGGGTGTGCAGTAGGTTTGACTGACAAGGAAGGGACTCCCATCAAGAAGCCGTGGCGTCTCATGACCACATCCAAGGAACTTCATGACGGGTTCCAGAATAGGACATGCTCCCACCAACACTCCTTCAAGCATGCACAGGCCACAGGTAGCAACACTGCACGCACCGCCTTTTATCCACAAGAAATGTGCAAGATAATCGCTAGTGCGTTATATCCACATGTCGCAACACCATGCGCGCCTGCAATGCCAGTCCAGGCTGCCATCGTGCAAGAGGAGCATCGGGAAAAGGAGCAGTCCTTGAAGCATACCTCCGCACTTTCGGGTGTTGGGGCTCTCGCGTCAGTTGTTGAATCAGATCCAACCTCCCGCAGATTCTTTGAAGAACTCTTTGACTTGGATAATCTTGTCAGGGAAATTCAGGGAATTCCAAAGCAGGAGACTTCTCCCGACATAGCCGCCATAGCCGCCATGGTCACAAAACTTCTTTCACGTTCAGAGATGCTTGCCTTGTCCGAGGCATTGCAGGCCATAAAGGAAGAAGCAGACGGCTTAGGTAATGCGGGAGTCTGGGATCTCAGCACCGTGAGAGAACAAGGAGAGGTCGCTGCTGAAGCGCGACGGACGCACACTAAAGTCCACTTCGGGCAACTAATGACTATCGCCTCCATCAAATTCTTTGAGCTAGCAAAGCATCTACAGAAAGTGAAGGGGCGTATAGTATACCGAGGGGACTGTGCGCGGGACGAATATGGGGCGGCGGCCGTTTATCAAGAACTCGGCGCCAACCCTACGTCCGTTCAGGGTTTGAACAACTGCCTTGCCTACGGCTCACTGCCAGGTCACAAAACCACGGCGGCAGATGCCGTAAAGGCATATATCCAGGCCCTACTTCGATCTCAACACCAGACGTGGATATCATTGCCGCCGGAACTTCGTCCGAAGTGGTGGAAAGAAAAGTTTATAAAGCCGGTAGTCCTTCTAGTAAAAGCACTCTACGGTCACCCCGACGCGGGGGGGCTATGGGAGCAGCACTTCAAGAAGATCTTGAAGGAGCAGACCGGAGAGGAGATCCAAGAATTTCCAGGAAACTTTTACTTCCCCTCAACCGGCTTAATGCTGTCCACCTATGTGGATGATCTAACACTTTCAGGGCCGGCAGAGCAGCATGATCCCTTTTGAGAAAAGCTGATGTCATGTGTTGATATTGAACCCCCAGAACCGATATATCGTGTTTTGGGAAGGAATCATGTCATCATTAACGCCCCGAAGTGCGAGCCCAATCCAGCCGAGAGCGCAGCCTTTGGCGCGCTGTCCAACGCAATGGCTTTTGATATGGTTGACTACGCCAAACGAACTGCTGATCTATATGTCTCCATTTCAGGTCAGCCGATTAGTAAGCTCCGCAAGGCATTGACCCCATTCTGTCCAGAAGGGTCATTGCCAACACAAGATGATGCCGAAGCAGGTGAATTGAGCTCAGCCGCTTGTAAAATCTTGATGAAGGCCTTGTGGTTGGGACGTCTTGCACGTCCAGACATAATCAAGCCCATCGGGGATCTTGCAACGTGCGTTCAAAAATGGTCGCGTAATAATGATAGGCAGTTGGCTAGGCTAATAGCTTACATTAACACGACCACAACGCACAGGTTGGTTGGCACAGTTCAAGACGATCCCAGAGAGCTGCATCTTGCGCTCTACGTCGACGCTGACTTTGCAGGGGAGGAGGGGGCTAAGTCTACATCAGGGGGGTTTCTCGCCCTGAAAGGCCCGAATTCCCACTTCCCCTTAGCATGGATTAGCAAGCGCCAGACTTCTGTGTCGCGTTCCACTACAGAAGCAGAGATTGTGTCGTTAGCATTTTCTTTGTATCAGGAGGGACTCCCAACACTTAGTCTGTGGGATCGCCTATTGGGTCGCCCAATCACCCTCAGGATCCATGAAGACAATCAAGCTACTATTCTGGTTGCAAGGAAAGGGCACTCTTCGAAGTTGCGATCAATTTCTAGGACACATAGGGTTAACCTAGCATCCCTTGCAGAACAGTTACAGGAAGGCACTGGAGTAGAGCTTGAGTGTGTGAAGACCGATTTCCAAGCTGCCGATATCTTTACCAAGGCTTTGCCTCCACATAAGTGGGATCACGCCTTGAGGCTCCTGGGAATGCGCACAGACCTCCCAGAAGAGCTAGAAGATACTTGATTCAACATCAAAAAGTAGAAAGTCATTCCGAAAGCAGTGCTATGAGTACTAAAAGTGCCAAAATATCCTTCATCCTTTTAAAGCCTTGATGACCAGGGAGCAGCGTATCGCGCTCCAAAGCAAAAGCTTACCCTGCCTTGGTGCACACGGCGAGGGGGGAGTCAAGAAATAACGACCCCTTTGCCCCCAAAGGCATGGTAACTTGCCTAGTTGTGTGTTCACTGGTGTGAGGTTTGCATGAGGCCACTTTGGTTTAGGTTGAGGGTTGCATGACATGACAGACTTGTCAAACGGCAAACGCCGTTTGGCTCAAGCGCTCAACAAGAAAAAGAGCGCTGAGTGCGGAACTAGAGTTTAGAAACAACCCCCTGAACCGCTGAGGGACTAACCACGGTCAATCCACCTCTTTTTGCTCGGGGCGCAGCCTTTGGCGCGCGTTTGGGGTTTCTTGCTCTTTTGATTAAGATGCCACGGTTTCTTGGACCGGCCGTCGCCAGCATTTCGTTGGATTTCGTGCTCGGATGGATTGAGTGACACTCGTCACCACTTAGGACTGAATCCCCTTTCAATGCACCCCCCACCCAAATAGACGACAACTCCCTGGGGATCGGATTTTATTCTTAGGGGGGTCTAGTCTTGTGCTTTTCTAAACTTTGGGGGGGGGGGCAGCAGCCAACAGGTGTTCCAGGATGGGCTTTAAGTAGTGAGTTTTAAAAGGTCAGGCTGTGACTGAAGGCATGGTGGTTCCCTGGAAAGACCGGAAGAGAGCTCGGGGGAGAAATCGTTAGTTTAGTATTGGTTTCGAATTGGGCTACTCCAATTTTGTATCCCCCTCGCCCGGGATTTCGGAGAATCGCAATATATATATATATATATATATATGGGCCTATGGGTATGGGTCAAAATTAAGCCACCAGGGGACCGCAGGTTTTAGTCCATGTTTCCATATACCAGGGATCCATTTTGGGGTTACCCTATTTTAGATCCACTGCCATATTGGGGGGACATATTATTTGGGGGTGGCGGAAAAAAGCGGCTTCTCCAGCTATAGTTGGAGACTTGGAGGTGGCCCTTTACCACTCCATCAAGCCCCTCTTCAAGAACCGTCCGCTGCTGATCATCCTGAACAAGCTGCTTGGATATAGTTACGCCCGCCTTTGTAGGATATTCCAGGGAGAGGATTGAGTCAAATATGCATGTCCAGCATTTCCCGCTTGCTTTGCTGCCACTGGTTCCGACCGTGTGACGAGCAGCCCTGGATTTGGCAAGGACTGATATTCGCAAGGTGGATGAGCTGTCCGCAGAGGACTGACGTCCCAGGATGCAAAAAGTGGCTGTGGGTCACAAATGGGGTAACCCCAAAATGGAACCCTGCTAAATGGAAACATGGACGTGACTAAAACCTGCGTTTTGCTTGTTTGAAATAGGTTACTTGTTTGAAATAGGGCCAGCAGGACTTGAACCTACAACCTCCGCTGCCATTGCGCTATGTCCCCCTTCCATCTCTGTGTTTGAGCAACAAGTTGCGCCTGCACTTGGGCGAAGAAGCAGAACTGGTGTAACTGGCAACAATCCAAACGTCAAGTCGTTACATTGCTTCCATTTGCTTAAACCCTGGAAAAAAAAAACATTAAGAATATTCAAACATTCATTTCAGCAAATGGAAGATGAGATCCTGCATGAGAAGCTCACGTGGAACAGTGGCGGCCGACGGGATGGTCGGCGTGTTTGTGTACCTGGGTTCTTGTGTTCCCGTCAGAACCCCGTCAAGCCTCTGTGGCTTCTTTTGGGCGGTGATTGGAATCTCCTTCTATCTTTCTTTGAGGGGCCCGCAAAATAAGAGAAACACAGAGTGTGCTTAAGCAAACGGCCGCAACTGACCATCTAAACCACCTAGTACTCAGTTGTTCAAAGCCGACCTTTTGACCTTTTGGTTTTCCCTTTTTGGTCTATTTTTAGTAGAGGTCCCAAAAGGTTAACCTTTTATTTGCAGGTCCTTTGGGCAAGTGAGAGTAAACTACGTCCCGCTCCAGGAGAAACAACTCCTGGACTCCATGAAGGAGGCGATCTGGCGATTTGGTCTCGTTTGTCAATGACACGGGGTTGGCATGGAAACGGCACGTTCATCAAGTCGGGTCTGTCATTTTTGGGGGGACCCCCCAAAAAGCACGTTCATCAAGTTGGGTCTGATTTTTTGGGGGGACCCCCAAAAAACACGTTCATCCTTTTTTTTTGGGGGGGGACCTCCCAAAAAGAGGTGTTTTTTGTTTACCAAAAGGGGTACCCTCAAAAAGAGGCAGAGCCAAATGCCGCTAAATGGCCATGTCGCCAACATGCGTTTTAGTTTGAATTTGGTTGCAAACAAGAATGCCATGAGGCTTGGTGAACATGATCCGATTTGTCTATGGTCAATTTGGGTCTTGGGGCGGAGGGGACTCTCTAGGTTTCAACACCCCAAAAATTGGGACCTTTCCACCCATGTCCACAGAGAGTTGTGTTGACCGTGTCGCAACCTGTTTTCCTTTTTGTGAGGGTACCGTCCTTTAGGGGACGGCGAAAAGGAAGGCAGCCTGCAAAAGGCCACGCGCATATTGCTATGGAGATGAGTGGTTGGAACCACTCTCCTTTTTTGCCTGGAGGGGGCCTGGACAGAAACCAGGTGTTTGGATGTCCACGAAAGAGTCGAAGCAGTTAGCACATCATACCCTCCGGGTTCTAACATTGAGTTGGAGCATAGGTACGGTTTCCTGTAAGCGGTTCCGACATAGGGTTGCTCATTCGCCTAGTGTTTGTCCGGCCAGCTCGTATATTTGATCTAATGACACCTATGTTGCACAGTCGCAGCTGGGAGAGGAGCTTCCAATTGCACTAGCTGCTATTGAAGTCATATCCCGTGTTCCTAGTTCCTCGAGAGTTGAGCCCACAATAAGAATGGTTGACCCCATTTGGAGGACAGCTTCTGATGGAACCCCATGGTTTTGTAGGTAGGAACCCAACCATTATGTTAATAGTTTGAACCCCAGGGTACAAACTAATAATGGTTACTGGTTCAAACGATTTGGTTGGGTCTAGGAACCCCAGTTTGAACCCCAGTTTTAGGAACCCAACCATGTCTTTGTCTTTACTTGAGGCCATAAACAAACAAGGCACAGGAGCCCGGGATTGGGCAGGTTGACGCCGGCGGAGAGGCCCGACTGCCTCGGGTCAGCTTTTCACTGGGTCCCTTCTGGCTGAGAACCAAACTGTAGGAAGAAGAAGAGTGGGTTTGTTGTTTGTTGTTTGTTTGTGTTTTGTTGTTGTTGCTGTTGCTTGTTGTTTGTTGTTTGTTGTTGTCTTGTTTGATTGTTGTTGTTTGTTGTTTGTTGTTTGTGTGTGTTGTTATTATCGTTGTTGTTTGTTGTTTGTTGTTTTTTTGTTTTTTTTTGTTTCTGAAAAAAAACTATTGTTGATGTGTGCTGTGTGTTGCTTGTTGTTTTTGTTGTTTGTGTTGTTGTTGTTTGTTGTTTGTTGTTTGTTGTGTTGTTGGTGTTGTTGGTGTTGTTGCTTGTTGTTTGTTTGTTGTTTGTTCTTTGTTCTTTGTTCTTTGTTCTGTGTTCTTTGTTATTTTGTCTTTGTTCTTTGTTCTTTGTTCTTTGTTCTTTGTTCTTTGTTCTTTGTTCTTGTTCTTGTTCTTGTTCTTGTTGTTGTTGTTGTTGTTGTTGTTGTTGTTGTTGTTGTTGTTGTCGTTGTTGTCGTTGTTGTCGTTGTTGTCGTTGTCGTTGTCGTCGTCGTTGTCGTCGTCGTTGTCGTCGTCGTTGTCGTTGTCGTTGTCGTCGTCGTTGTCGTCGTCGTTGTCGTTGTCGTCGTCGTTGTCGTCGTCGTCGTCGTGGTCGTGGTCGTGGTCGTGGTCGTGGTCGTGGTCGTGGTCGTGGTCGTGGTCGTGGTCGTTGTCGTTGTCGTTGTGGTTGTTGTTGTTGTTGTTGTTGTTGTTGTTGTTGTTGTTGTTGTTGTTGTTGTTGTTGTTGTTTGTTTGTTGTTGTTTGTTTGTTGTTTGTCGTTGTCGTTGTCGTTGTCGTTGTCGTTGTCGTTGTCGTTGTCGTTGTCGTTGTCGTTGTCGTTGTCGTTGTTGTTGTTGTTGTTGTTGTTGTTGTTGTTGTTGTTGTTGTTGTTGTTGCTGTTTTGTGGTTTGTTGTTTGTATTATTGTTTTAATGTTTGTTGGTTTTGTTGGTGTTTTGGTGTTTTGCTGGTTTTGTATTTTTTTCCAGTTTTGTTGGTTGTGTTGGTTTTGTTGCACGGGTATTTCAGGATGAATCGAATCATTCCAGCGTTGGAGGCGTGTTTGGCATGCTACGGAACCAACGTTCTTGACTCCACATCTGCACAAAAAGAGCTGAGCCAACTTCGATATTTTCCTGCGCTGAGCTCTTTTCTCGTGTGGGAAAAAAAAACACATCGCCCGACACATATCTAATCTGGCCCCTTGTTTTGAGGAGAGGCTGGCCCACATCCTGTCTCATGGTGCCTCTCTTCGGTTCTGAGAGCCCACGGACGTGTCAGGTCTCATCGGAACGACTCGCTTTTTGTGTCAACTCGGAACCCCAACATCCACGGGATTTTTGTCGAGTTTGCTGAAGCCACAAATGGGGTGGCCCCCCGGAAAAAAAAGGGGGGGCCAGGCCCAGAATAGACCCATTGTCGGTCGCTCTTAGTTTTTATTTTAGGATTGGGACCCTATTTGCGGTGGGGCGCTTGTCAACCATAGCGAAACGATTCGGGATTTGGGACATGAAAACCTTTGCCGGGTTTCGGAAGTCTGGCTCCATTTTGGGGTGGAACATCCATTTGTCACCTAGTTTGATGTTCACCAGGGGTACCATTGGTTTTGACCACCACAGCCAAATGGGGCCTTACGGGCTTCAAAAGGACAACCCTGCCTCATCCCCAACCTGATATTGGGAAGCATGAAACACCGGCTTCGGAAGACGGAGACTGCATCTCCGTGGCCTTTGGCCCTGTTCTCGTTCGGTGAGGTGAGCTTCTTCGAGACGTCCTGCACAAAGAAGCAGGGCGTGGATGATGCCCTGCAGAAGGACGGCCTGGATCGCCGGTTGCTGCTTTTTGTCCATCTACTTTACACAAAAACCAGCAACAGTGACAGGGCTCCTTAAAAGATGCCCATTTGAAACATTGCTTTTTCCACCAAAATAAAGGGAACCCACCAGTTACAAGGCAATGTTCAGGTGTTTTTCATAAGGATCCCTGAGTGACTGAACAAAACGATCGCAACTTGGCTATCTAGGGGGCTGGTCTCGGGCTTCGAGGCTTCTGATGCGAGCCCTGGACCCTCAAACAAAGAACCCTCCGTCATTCTGCCATTGCCCGTTTCATGTTCTCACTTCCTGAGTTCATGGACTTTAAGCTTTTTGGGGAAGACTATTGAAATCGCTACGCGATCCGCCGACGCCAGTGGACAGTCCCCCATTAACAAACTGCAGCGTGCCTCAAGTTTGGGGTCAGGAAAAAGACGTCTTTTTTCCTAGGTCATTTTTCATGTCCCAGATGCTGAGGATGCTGGAAATGCAAGGGATGCAGCCACACAACTTACAAGAACAAGCCCAATCTTCCCCAAGTGTCGCTCCACTTGGCTTCACCCAAACCCCTAACAGGCCAATTCCAACAAAGAGACAAATCAAGATAATCCTGATGATGCTGGGGATGCAGATCCTGCGCGTCCGGGGGAACCCCCCCCCCCGCAGATTTCTAGCACGAAAGACCCAAAAACACTGGAAAAATACAGGGTTTTGGACACGTAGCGCAGCATGCCCAAAAAATCCGCCGACGCCAGTCGAGCGTGTAGATGGCAGTCCGCAACTTGGTCTTCCTTCGGAATCTCTTATCAAAGCCGAAGGCTTTTGGGACTGCTATTTTTGGGCATGCTGTGCTACGTGTCCAAAACCCTGTATGTTTTCCAATGTTCTTGGGTCTTTCGTGCTAGAAATCTGCGTTTCGCCTAGGTCTCCAGGGGTTTTCCCCGGACGCGCAGGATCTGCATCCCCAGCATCATCAGGATTATCCTCTTTCTTTTGCAGATACTAGTGGCGTTTTGCTGTTTCAAGCGATGTTGGAATTGGCCTGTTAGGGGTTTGGGTGAAGCCAAGTGCAGTGACACTTGCGGAACTGTTGAAATCTGCAAAAAATGAGTTTTCTTGCAATTCCCCACCAGTTACTGCGAAACATCCCCTGCATTATCGTGCTTTTGGAAGTCTATTCTTAGGGTATTTGAGGGGGGGTTGCTGGTATCGTTTTTTGATGGCTGCTTTTGGGAAATATTGAAAAAACCCTGGTTTTTGCACTTTTTTGTGGCTGGCCGGCTGCATTCCCAGCATTCCCCACAACTCTCATATTTTCTGCGTTTGGTCAATGTCGCGTGTGTGAAAATCTTAAAATCTTGAGCGTGAAGATTGGGTTTGTTCTTGTAAGTTGTGTGGCTGCATCCCTTGCATTTCCAGCATCCTCAGCATCTGGGACATGAAAAATGACCTAGGAAAAAAACGTCTTTTTCCTGACCCCAAACTTGAGGCACCCTGCAGTTTGTTAATGGGGGACTGTCCACTGGCGTCGGCGGATCGCGTAGCGATTTCAATAGCAGTCCCAAAAGCCTTCGGCTTTGATAAGAGATTCCGAAGGAAGACCAAGGTGCGGACTGCCATCTACATGCTCGACTGGCGTCGGCGGATTTGAGTGGTAAGTAGCAAGCTCAGACTTGTTTTGGCTCGTCCACTCAGAAAGTGAGGTATTTTGAGGGTGGGCGGGTGTTTCTCAGGGACCACCTCCTTTTAGCCTAGTTCCTTTTCCTTTTACCGGCAGAATGGTTGCCCGCAGAGCCAAGCGCCGGGTTCGCAGGAGGATTCAAAGCGAGAGCCGTGGTAAGCGTTCCCCGACCTTCCGAAAATGTCAGGGTTCGAGGTCACGAGGTCCGGGGCTGGAAGAAAAAAGAATCTGACGGGTTCCTGTTTTTGGGGAAATTCCCGAAGGGTAGGCCCCCCAGCAATGGGTGCCCTTTCTTTTTTACCGTTTCATTTTTGGGGGGAGGGTTCAACCCTAAAATAGACTACAGCAAAAAGGGTACCCTTATTCTAAGCTCTCCACTGGAGGGCCTAAACGCAGGGGGAAGCCCTCGGCTTAAGCTTGGCTGATTCTGCTTGCTCGTGTTTTTCTTTGGAGCGTGCGGTTGCCTAGTTCCTGGCTTGGCGTGATGAATTTCATGGGTCGCAGTTGAATGGAGAACCACTCGGGGTCACATCTCGCCGAAACACGTTTCGGACTGGACCCCATAGTTTGCGTCTGCAATATCGAGAGCCACCCCACGCGAACCGTAAACATTCAGGCCTTCCCAGAACCCACAAACAGATCCCTTTAGCCAGATTGGTTTTGCACCCACGAAAATGTGAGCATTCCTGATTTCACCCACCAACAAGTCGTTTTGTTTTTTCTTTTTTCTTTTTTCTCAAAACCTTGGGGCATTCTCCTGGAATTTTCACCCCAAAATACACATATCCACCTATATATATATATTCTCTGGTGCCCATGGGGAGAGCTGTATATATACAGCTCTCCCCTGGGGACTGAACTCCAAAAAACATCAACGGCGGCCGCAGGGCTGTGAGCTGTTGCTGGAGAAGCGGGTGGATCAGAAGGCTCAGCCCGCCGTGGGAGTACCGGATGCCATCTAGGTGGCCTTTCGGAACAAAAAAGAGATACGTTTCCCTGGGAAATGGAACAAAGCCCATCCTTCCATTTGCTTAAGACTATTTTTTAATTTCCCCGGTTGGTTTTAAAAGGAATGTATCATTACTGGACATAGTTTTTACTTTTTCCAGGGGTCTTAACCAACTAAAAGCATCTCATTCACCTAACAAGGACACCTATGTGTCATCTCCTTCTTGAGATATGACGTCACACTCTGACAGACAAATTGTTTGGGTGTTCTGAGGAAGCTCACCCCCATCTTTTCTGTGCTTTGCAACCATGATTACTCAGAACGCCGCAGACCAGTTGTTTTGGGCCGGGGTTCACCCCTGGCAAAACAGGTTGGTCGAACCACTATTGTTTGTCTTTTTTTCTTCTGGGGAACACTGTTCTGGGGAACACTATGTTTTTGTTCCCCCTCTCCTGGGGAACACTATTTGAAGAACTGTTTATGTTTTTGTTCTTTTCCTTTTTCTGTTTAGTTTCTTCAGTGTTCCAAAACATTGATGCAACTTGAATTCTCAACCAGTAGTTGCCCCTTGGTTTGCACCACGTTCCGAGTTGGAGACACTCGCACTCAAGATGGGTAGCGGGTATCATTGGGTGCGTCCCAAAAGGTTCAAACAATTTGCCTCGTTTGGATGGCCCCAGTCCATTTGCATGTTGGTTGCCGGTCGCCCCAAGAAAAACAGGAAATCCACTTGATTCATAAATATGGGGCCTTTCTTGGCATCCTTCACTTTTTCAACAAAGATTGCTTGGTTAATGGGTCAACATTGTCTCTAAAAGGGCTCACAGGTCTGACGCTAGGAAGCTGGTTGGCTTGGGGAAAGAAGCGAAATGGTCACCAGCGACCCCTCTGAATCAATGGCAAATCACGAGGCGGCTCAAATCCAGCGGCGATCGATCGCGCACTTAGACTTGTTGGCTGCAAGGACTTGCCCTCCCTCCCACTAACACGGCATTTCACAGAGGGTACTTCTACAGGAAACTGATCTTCCAGGTATCCTCCCACAGGTGCTAATGAGAGCCACAGGCTTGCTGTCACGCCCTAATCCACCCCTGTCCTGCCCAGGGCTTTGGTTTAGGGTTTAGGTTTAGGTTTGGGGCTTAGATTCAGGGTTTAAGGTTCAGGGTTCAGGTTTGGGGCAGGCTTTAGGTGCAGGGTTTAGGTTTAGGGTCCATGTTTAGAGTTCAGGTTCAGGGTAGGGTTCAGGGTTTTGGTTTAGAGTTTAGGTTTAGGGTTTAGGTTCAGGGCTGAGGTTCCGGGTCCAGGCTTGGGGTTTAGCTGAATTCTATGCCTCCCCGCAGCCTAGCTGCCGCATGTCTTAGCAGTTGTCAAGGCTATGCCCGAAGGACTCTGCCATTGCCTTTTGATGAGCCAAGCTGCGCGGGCGTCGGGGTATTGCTTTGGGGCGAAGGCAACCCTCAGGGGCTGGCCGTAATGTTAGTGGGAGAAATGAAAGGGTAGATAAACAATGGTTTACCATTGAAAGCAGCCCAAGAACCGCAGTCCCACAGCCAGAAAGAGTGGGGGGGAGGTATTAGTACCCCAGGGGCCCAGGGGCATATAATATACAACGTGCCCTTAGTGTGCTCAATAAAGAAAGCAACAACATGGCAGCTCGCCACTTACCTGACGCACCTGAACCTGTTCAAGTCATTTTCAGACCGTTTTGGAGGTCTCGAGGTGGACAACCACTTGTAGAAGTGGTATATACCCAGTGTCTCAAAGGGAAACAAAGAATAGCATACGCATTCTACAGGGCCTAAGTCTAATCATGCATCCTCAACTGGAGGTGAAGACCGGCAAGGCGGATCAGTTCAGGACTCCGAAGTCGCGAGGTTGCCAGGAAAACCTGAGCTAAACCCCCAGCCCGAATTGGTGGGCTCTGGAGCCTGTTGTGAGGATTTGAACCCCTGGCTTTGGCAGGTAGTAACTGGCAAATCACCCCTGAACCACTGAACCACCAATCCTAGCAGGCAATCAAGCGGAAGCTGCTTGGAGGCCCAATTCAATCGAACGCCTAGCCGAGTGCGCCGCAGTTCATCCTCCAACTGCAACTAGTGTGCTACTTATAGGGTTCGCGGATGCAGTGCATCAAGTGGGTTGTCAAATGTGAGAGCTGATGTATGACTTTTCTTCTAGGCGCACGTCTCCAACAAATGAATTGGTGTTTCTCACCATGCGATCGCGTTCCATTTTTGGAGTTGGGGAAAACAAACGGAACACCACAATTTTGCTGGCTCCAAGTCCTAAAAGCGACGCACCCACAAGATTCGCAGTGGCAGCTGGCCCTTCTAAGATAAGCTGGCCCGTCTTTTGAGTTGGGTGTCGGATTTGGGTCCAAATCCACAAAGCGGTGCACCCACAGGCCATCATGAGCCACTTGCTCAAAACCCGGGTAGATGAAGCCCAGTAAGGGACAATCCCAACCATAAATATCCGCCTTCTTGGTTCTTGAAGCATGGCTCTGGGCTAGTTTAACACCAGGTTTCGATTATGACTCACATCCACATCCCCCTCCCCCGTCCCCCTCCCGCCCCCACCCACATATACACCCCCCCCGCACTTCCCCCCCACCCCCAAATCGATTCGTCCGACAAGACTTCGTGTCCGGTCTGAATTGGGGTGTTTCTAGGCTCCGTTCAGGTTGGTGAACAAGGAAGCCAAAAGGACCGTGGGACCGCGGTCCCAATCCTAAAAGCGATGCACCCACATGGTGCGCATGTGCAGTTGGGAGATTGCCGCTCCCTTATCGACGCAGCCCTGAAACACGGGAGGAGCAGACTCCATGTCACCTCCGTCACGCCCCCGGCGAGCCGACCGCCCGCAGCCCAGTGTCTTGGGCCTCATGGATGTGCAGTTGGCTCCTCAAAAGAAATTCATGTTGCAACCATCTGAAACATGTTTTTGGTGTTTTTTTTCAAAAATAACATATACATTTTGGAAATCTTTGAAACATGTGGCTTTTTCAACACCAATCTTTTTAGGGACACCACTAAATAAACAAGGCAATGTTCAGGTGTATAATGTAAGGATCCCTGATGTGTCTTTTTTTCTTCAAGGGAACCCAGCCAGTTTTGGGGCTTCGGAACACCCAAATGTGAATCCTAAAGAAAAAGCGGGGGAGAGACTGGGGCTGTTTCCTTGTGTGGCACCCTCTAGAATCCCGTTGTATTTACTAACCTCGCACGAAATGGTCAGCGCAAAAACGTCAAAGCTGCCTGCACACTGGGATGGTTTCCACGTGGCGCGCTTGCTCTTTGGGGTCTCAGTCGCCCGTGTGTTTTTTTTTGGTAAGACCTATATATATATATATGGCTGTGGTGGTCAAAACCGTTTTGGAATCCCATTTTGGTTGGTAGGTGGTTTTTCACCCATTTTAGAACCTATTTCAGTGGTTGGATTGGGATGTTCACTGGGGGTACGATTTGGCTTTTGACCCATGGCCATATTGACTTCTCATTGCCCACCTGCGTTTTCGGAGCCAAATCGATGTTTCCCTCTCAGTCATGAACTAGCTGAAAGGAATGCCGCAGCCAAACTCAAGGTGGACCAGGGAATCCCAAAGCGGTTGATTGATTCCCTCATCCATGTTTCGGGGGGGGGGTAATTTTGAGACAAACCTGCCCTTCAAGAGACAACATCCCCATTTCCTCCCATGTTTCAGGAGAAAAAGAAGTCAACTACAGGAGAAACACCCATTGGGCGGAACAATGGTTGTACAAAATGGGCAAGGCATCAACCATCTGTTGACCTGAATCATGCATTCCAATGTGGCGACCGGATGCTTTCAGCGTCTGCGGCCATCTGGGCCTTCAACCCGATTCGTATTGGGCTCGGTTCACGGATCAACTTCCGCCTCGCTTCACGCATACAACAAGAAAACACGAGACAGCTGTGCCACTCAAGTGTTTTGCTGTGCCCTCGCAGCTTGAAACGGCCAACAAGAACAGGTGTTTTGTGTCAAGAATCTCCAAGCTCTTCACCCATAGTACCCAAAACAGGTGTGGTGAACCATTTAAAGCAGGTAGGTTTGGGCCTGGGATCTCAGTTTGCTGCATCCGAGGCCTTGCATCCCGGCCTCGGTGCAGCAAGCGCGGCAGCCGCCCCAGATGCCGAGGTCTCTGAGGTCTGGTTCCTGGCTTCTGCGTCCTGAGTTCCTGAGGAACCTGGTTTTTTCGTTCTCATTTCCAGGGATGCCAAAAGGACACCGACCAACGTTGAACTCCTATTTTCAGTTTTTTTTTTTTTGAGAAGCGCCCGAGTAGTTGTGGGGGGGAAAAGCGGGGGAGTCCTTTTTGGGTGGCACGAAACCAAAAGGGAGCCAGCCACTTGGGATATCTTTTTGGCAAAATATGGACCGGACTAAAAGATGGCTGTTGGCAAAAGCTGAGGCAGCGTTGCCTATGTTGTTCTCTTAGCTTCCTCTCAAAGGGGACATATGATGGTTGTTGTTGGGAAACATTTTACTTGTTTGCTTTTTGTGATTTAGTGGTTGAAATCCAACCACTTAACTGCTAAATTTTAGATTTTGCTCCCCTTCCAACGTCAACAAGGATATGCTTTGGTTCGTCACCTGTTGCCAAGCTCACTGGTTCTCTGAGGTCTCCTGAGGTGAATGAACCGAGTGGCAAGCTGAAGTCTAGTTTCCTTTGGGTTGATGCTAAGATTACGGCGGGGATCCGGAGGGTCAGGAGAGTTTTGGAGGCTTCCAGGGGCTGTTGGGTTAGCTCTGAGCTTATTTTTCGATGGAACCCACTTTTGGAAAGGGAAGCCAAAGGAAACCACCCCAATTTGGGGGGTCAACGGAAATAAAGACGTGACACACCCATGTATCCGGTTAAGCCTCCCGCCCGTTTCTTTTCAGTTTCGCAGATGGCCGTGAATTTCAAGGAAGAGAAGCCTCCCACATGGTTGACGGAAATAAATCCCCGCCATAATGCGCACCACGGGGTCCTTTTAAAAGCTCACACCCAACTGGCAGCATGTGAAAAGGGTGGCCCAGTTGTGCCAGCCACTCCGAAAGTGTGCTTCGCTCGGCTCATAGGAGCGCAGCGTGTAAGCCACCATGAGCGTCAACTGGTTCCATGAAAGTGGCTTGTGTCTCTGTGCTTTTTGTTTTTCTTCCGCAGCATCGCTGAAAGCTCGCTTTCTTGAGCAACGCCTTTAGGAGGTGATTTGTGTTCGCCCCTCAACATATTGAAGCAGGTTGGCAATCCAGCCATTCATGACAGCCGGGCGATTCGATTCGAAACTTGAGGGGTGGGGCTGAGCCGGAAGAGGCTGGAGCGGAGCGAGAAGTTGGGTTCGGCTGAGCCACAGGGCGGAGTCTTGGGCAAGGGGGCTTGGGGGTTCTCGGCCAAGCGGTTCTTGCGAGGCCATGTCAAGATGTGGCGGGTCAAAACCGTTTTGGTACCATTTGGGGATGGGTGCACCACCCACGTTAGTCTTTTTTAGTGGGGATTGGGATGTTCACTAGAGGTACGGGATTTTGACACTTTTCAGACGTGGCCATGGGTCAGGCCGCTTTCAAAGTTTGAGATCTGGTACTTGGCCATGGAAGCTGTTGCAGTGGATATATCCTCGGAAGGTCTTTTCGCATGTTCGCATGCCCGAATATTTCTTTCTAGGGGTTGATTCCCATGGGGTTTTGATGGTTTCCTGAAAAGATTCGGATCCCTGGGTTCAGAATGGAAATGGAAGGTACCCCTAGACTCTTGGGTGTTTCTTGCACTTGCGACTTGGAGGGCCGTAGAGCTTTTGTGAGATCTGTCGGCTAGCTAGGTGTCTGGGATTGTTTGGGCCACACCTTAGCTAGATTTCTAGGGGTACCTTCCTCTAAACATGGGTTCTTTCAGAAATTCTGACAGAAAAGCGACATCCTTTGTGGACATCTGCGTAAGCCTGCTGTGGATGTCCAGTTATTTGTTGATACTTCTAGGGGTACCTTCCATCTCCATTCTTTCCAGGCATCCAAATCTTTCTAAAAAACCACCCAGAACCCTGGGGAAACAGCGATCGGTTTTTGAAAAGAACGATGGTTGAAAGGACTGGGGGATCAACCCCTAGAATATGTGTTGCTTCCATGTTGTGGCTTGGATTAAATCTGAGCCGGTCAGACCCTGAGATGTAGACCATGAGAGACTCGGGTCGGATGGCTTTCAGCATCCTTTCTTTTGCTGACATGTGATGCGCTCGGACCTTTGGGGATGTCACATGTGTCATGTCGTTTTTCTAGACGGGGACACCTTGTTGGGGTTTGAGAAGGAATCCAAAAAGGACCCATTTTTGCTGGTCCCTTGTGTTGAGACCCCATTGGGTGACTGGTTTGAGCATCGATTTGCCTGGGCATGGAGTTTGGCCCACCCCTCAACCATCCGAACGTGAACTCAGTGCTTCTCGGAACCGCCCATAGAAAGAAACATACATATTGGTTTGTCAAACCAAAGGGAACCCACAGAAAGGGGTGTTTTCCCTCCCTGAAGCTCTCTATAAGACCAGCCTAAAAAGAGTAACCCAAGAAACACACACACGCCCATGTTGGGCTCATGGGATTTGCGAGTTTCACCGACCCGATTGCAGGCAAAAGAGCCACTCGAGAGGGATCGCATGGAGGCGAGATTCGAGCCGAATCTCAGTTGTTCAAAGCCGACCTTTTGGCCTTTTGGTTTTCCCAGTTTGGTCCATATTTAGTCATGGCCCCAAAAGGTTAACCTTTTAGTTGCAGGTCCTTTGGGCAACTGAGAAATATTTTTGTTCTGATACCCTTCCTGGCACACGGGCACCTGACAAAAGCCGATTGAAGCAGAAACTGATCTTGCAGGTACCCTCCAAGAAAGGATGCAATGTTAGTAGGAAAATGGGCAACTACTGGTAGTTTACTCCTATCGTGGTAAAAGGAAAAGTTTCAACGGAAAAACTAACAGTTTACTCCTACAACATGACGGAATTTGCTTAGGCAGTAAGAAGGGGGCAGGTCTCCTGACGGTCGAGAATGTTAGACTTTGGGGAGTAGCAGGGTGCCAGAAAAAAAATATCAAGTTCTGCCGTTGCATTTCTTTGGATTTCGCGCTCGGATGGTTTTTAGTCACACTCGTCACCACAGAATCAATCCCCTTTTCATACCCCCCCACCCAAATAGACGACAACATTTTCTGCCTGGGGTTTTGTTTTTTGTTCTTAGGGGTGCCCAGATCCTGGTTTGGGTCTAGTCTTGTTTTTTTCTCCACTTTCGTGGGGGCAGCAGCCAACAAGTGTTCCAGGATGATGGGTTTTAAGTAATGAGTTTAAACCCCCCCCCACCCAAATGGACAACAGCTCCCTGGGGTTTTGTGTTTATTCTAAGGGGCCCTCCCACCCAAATAGACAACTCCCTGAAGTTTTGATTTTTCTTCCTGGGGGGGGCAAAAGAGGTGTACAAGGCGCCCGAGACGGCGCGCGAACCTGAGGAGCTCGGCGGCGCTGGCGTCTATTCCGTGGACCTCTGGCGTCGAGCGCTGTTGGAGGCCGGACAAAAGGGGCAAGGGGATGAGCGGATGAGGTCACGAGCTATTGGAAGAGTTTCAACCGACTGAAGTACATGGCTTCCGTTTGCTGACATGGCTATTTTTGAGTTTCCCTTGTTGGTTCTGAAGGGAATCGATTTCACTACAGGAAATACATTCGATTTGTTCCAAAGGGCCCCCCTGTGAGCCCTCGAATTCTACCCGCATGAAAGGACCTGAAGGTTTTGCGACCGGGTTACTCGTTGGCTTAGCCGAAAAACCCTCTTGTCAAGATCGTGGATATGCTCAGGCGCCCTTTTCCAGATCGATTGGCATTTCAGGTTTTGGTTTTGCTCCATGCTTGGGAGCGTCACCAAGAGGTGAAAGATCAAAGCCCGAGAACCGCTGGAGGTGGGAAGATCACGCACTACATTCGACCTAATTGTTTTCCTGCAACGGACCAAGTTTTTCAGTGAGTGACCTGGTTGTGGAAGAAAATGTGGGTACCATCCCCCCCCCCCAAAGGACCATAGACTACATGGTTTTTGTCGGCTGAACCTCAAGTGAAGCTGTTTTGCTTGGACCTATCTCACAGCTTGTTTCATTTGTAAATCCTTGTGATGTCGACGTCGGAGAAGGATGACAGCACCAATCAGGGCCACCTACAACCCCTCAAAATTGATCCAAAGTGGACCTCAAGTTAAGGGAAGGGGTGCTGAAGTGCAACATCAGCTTCGGAGTTGCTCGCCAAAAGACACGAAGTTCAGAAGCGATGCCTTGTCATTCTTGATTCCGGCTGGCGCATCTAGATGAGTCGCGAATCTAAATGGCCAAGGGCAGTAGGTTGATCAGTTGATTTGTCCCAGGGTCTATGGAGCAAACTGCCAGCCCCACATCGGCATAATCTCTTAGTCTTCAAGAGACACATGGACTCAAACACCAGAAGATTACGTGGACGGCGTTTCTTGTTTTTTTTTTCCGCTCGCGTGATTAGCTGGGCCTTGCCGTTTGCGCCCCCTGGATTTCTGGCAAACAGGCGCAGCCAGGACACCGGGCGCGAGTCCGACCAAAAAGTATGGGGAGGGACCTGACGTCGGCCTGATATAGGTTTCCTTGACCAGATATGCAGGCTCTAAACGGGCCACGGTTTTAAAGCTGCGGGTGGGCGGAGCTGGTTGCCCAAGGGGAGGTTTAGAGAACAATTGTAGGGGTTTCTACGTAAGGCATGACCAGTCCCTGCACAGGGAGACTTGTTTGTCTTTTTGACTACACTCCAGGGGTGCTTGTACATGCCCCTTTTACATACCCCTTGGGCACATGAATCCAAAAGGCCTGCGGATGTTCATACCCCTCTCCCCAAAACGGGTATATACCCCTTATAAAGCCGGGGAAGCAAAGGAACCGGTATGAACAAGGGGTATGTACTTCCGCCCTTAGATGCGCGGGCTGTTTGCCAGGACCCCTCCTGGAAGTATGACATGGTGCCGGAGATCATGGACGGCCACAACATCCTGGACTTTGTGGATCCGGCGCGGGCCGCAGCATAGGAGGAGTTGGTGGCCAGATTTGGCAGGACTCCTTAAAAGAAATAGCAGTTGGCAACCATTTGAAGCATGTTTTGTTTGTTTCCCCAAAATAAAAGATACATCTTGGAAATCTTTGAAACATGTGGCTTTTTCAACACCAAAATGCAGGAAATACACAAATTGCATCAAATTGCACTGTTCAGGTGTAATGTAAGGATCCCTGGAGGCCTCCGCCAGGCCCAAACCTTGGGGTGCAAAGACGGGGGGAAGCAGGGATTCAGACCACTTTTTGGAGGGGAACATATTGGCAGAAAGGGGTTGATGAATCTGGCGCCATTCAGGGAAGCCAGTTTGCAGGGATACAGGGGGAACCAGGGATGCGGGAGGATTGCATCCGTTTGATGCAAGGGACTCAGTTTGATATGGGAAATGGCGCCAAGGGAATCCCCCGATATCCCCGCTCCGTATCCCCACTTGTTCGTTTGTCCAAAAAGGGGCCTAAACTGTTTGACCCTGTTTCAAAGCGGCAAAGCGGCTTTCGGAAGGAAGCCGCCGAGTGAGTTGACTTGAAGCAATCGAGTCATGGCTTTGGTCGCACATCTGGCCTTTCCTGCGAGGTCACCCAACCGCAACTCGTTTTTGGCGCTTCGGGGCAAGTTGTGTTCCGGGAAGAGAAGTGGGCGGGGGGTCTGGTGTTGAGTCACGGGTTGCCTAGGACATCGACAACACCATCGCCAGACTAGAGAAGGAGGAGGCGCGAAAAGTGGATGATGAAGTCGCGTGGTTGGCCTTTTTCAGGTTGAAGTGGGCGTGGTGAACACCCACTTTTGGTCAAAGGAAGACATAAGTAGATGCCAGGGACGTTCAACATGATAGGAACGTAGGGCTTTGGCGCGGAGCTGGAAATTGAGGTGGGTAACCTCACCCTGACTTTCTTCTACTCCCTCATCTTTTAAGAGAGGATTTCTTGGACTTTAGCTGAGTCTCCGCCCAAAATCCCGTGACCGGATTCGGTAGAGTTCTGCATTCTCTCGGTGCCCAGAGCGCGGGGCTGGACAGGGGCAGATCGGGCCTGTCACACCTAGGCCTGCGGTTGAACCAGGGTGGGACTGAACCCACACCAGTCCAGAACAACTGCAGAAATGTTGGCGCTCACACAAAGCAAGGAGGCAAAAGGGTGTTGAGTGCTGTTGGGTTGAGGGTAATTAAACGCCTTCTGGCATTTTCCCATTTGCCGACATAACTGTAGCGAGCATGAGCATCTCACCGGCATGCCTCTGCCGTTTCGACCAGACAAGCACGTTCCTTTGCGTTGTGGCGACTCTTTGTTGTTTGGCGAAGCGGCATTTTCTCGAAGCGGTTGTCGCGCGTTTGTTTTTTTCTTTCTTTTTTTATGTGTGTGGGGAGGTGCAGTGTCTGGGTTAAAAGCCAGGGACAGCCCCTTGGTTCTCATTGGCTGGCATTGCTTTCTCTTTCGGATGACCAGAGACCCCTCCCCAAACCTTTTCTTCAGAGCCGGCACCTGAAAAGGGACAAGTAAGTATAGGTACTTGTACGTACCCAGATTCCCCATGGCTTCGTGTTTTGGAGCCGGCTCCCCGAATCCACTATATACCAAAGAGGGGGTGGAGCTCAACATTTCAGCACATCCGGCTTGCCCGACAGGAGCTTCTCAATGCGGAGGCGAGCCTGGGAGATGACGACCAGGCGTGCGCCGGGTGTGATGGCTATTTCTGGGGCCAAAGTGAATTCCTTTCTTTTTTTGAACGGGTGCCCTTGTTTTTGAAGACACCCCAATGAATTTGTCCATTCCGAAGGAGCAGCAATGAAGAGCCCTTGTACCTTTGACAATTTTAATACTTGGTTGCACTTAGCTTCATGAGGGTTTGAGGCAAAATGCCAATAAAGACCTTTATGGGCATAGAGCCAAGAAACAATGGGCTGTGTGGGCGCTCAAATGGGCGCACGTCTTTTCTACTCAGCCGGAAAACTGGTGGTTTTCCTGTATGTTTCCCATTAAGCACCCACCAACCAGGGGTACCAACTCGACCAAAAACTCACCCGACCACTGGTGACCCTCAGCTTGGATTAGGCCAGAGGAACCCAAGAAAGACCCAGGAAAAGCTTGCTGGTGCTCAGAAGGGAATGTGAGAATGAACCGGTTTTGTGGATTCCCTTAAAGGAAGCCACCACAGGGCTCCTTAGAAGAAAATCATTTTGCAACCATTTGAAACATGTGGCTTTTTCAACACCAAAATAAAGAGAAACCACCATTTACAAGGCAATGTTCAGGTGTATAAATGTAAGGACCCCTGCACCAGTTGGATGGTTTACAGGGTCATTCCCAGATTCCCTGCTTATCGCACCAGCCAGAAAATACTCCACCTGAGAAAGCCAGATCCACCCGGATCGGATTTATGGCACCCCCTACACCAATTCTGCGAGCAAGCCACTCCTGGCAGGGCAAGCTCCAGAAAACGGTTTGGAGGTGGCTTTTGCGGATCCACCCCTGTGGAATATTCAACGAGTACTATAAGATTGTTTAAACAAAAAAAACATAGGGAAGAACTGGTGAAATCCACAAATCCACGCCACTAGGGTAACCCCGAAGGCAACATGCGGATATGCCACCGCTAGGGGTTTTGTAGGCGGAAACCATCTTAGACCGTTTTTCCACCATGGGTGCCTGGCTGGAAACTGGGGTCCGGCCCGAAGCTCTGATTTCCTGGATCCCGGGATGGGCTTTGGATCTGTGAAAGCGGATCCATGCGTAGCTCCAGGGCTAGTCTTTGGTCACGAATTGCAAAGCCTTGGTCCATCGAGGTCCCACTCAGTCTCCTTCCTGATTTCAGATGCGAGGGAGCTCAAAACTGGTTTTCAGATGCTCACCAAAGGGTTTCAACCAACTCACGACCAGCAATCTGACAGGTGATTCGGCAGTACAAGAAGACTCAACACGTGCTGGATGAGGTTCACAGCAGGCGGGTTCAATCCCAGTCTCGTGGATGGACACCTGTTGTGTCACTGGATCCCATTTTAGTGAAGATCTCGAGGGGTTCTCAAGGAACCACCGTTTCGACTTGCAGAGTAAGTATGAGAAAACGTTACTTTCAGTGGATCCAGGAATCCCCACTTAGTTCTGTTGCAACTGGGTTGCCCAGGTCAAGCAGTTGCCAACTGGGCCCCTGTTGTTTGAATCAACAACCGTTGCATTTCTTCAGTTTCATTTCACCATAGACAAGGGGTCCCTTTCCAAGTTCGCGTACAAAAAACTGCACGCATGCAGCAAATCCGGCAGACTTGGTTCCGCCATTCTATGGATCATCCTTCGCCAAGTGAGGCTTGAGGCGCTTCCCAGCCATCCCCTGGTTTGAAGCTTTTAGTGTTCAGTGGGGAAGCTCAATTTAAGCCACTAAAAGTTTTCTTCTGCCTAATACCCAAGCCCTTGATGTTACCCTGTGAACAATCACAGTGAAGAGGTTCTTCCGAGAGGATGGTCTCAGCCCTTTTATCCACTTCCATCAGACATATGTCTGATGGGCAAACAGGGTAGGACAACTCTCCAAAATCAAATGTCAACAACTTCATCTAAGTGTTTGTTGTTGCTTTTTTGTAAATGTAGCCTGGATGATGAATCCGAATCATCTACTTCTTGGTCCACCCTGCACCTCCAATTTGCAGATCCCTGCCCCGTCCCCCCAGGATGCGTCAGAAGCGCGTGGAGCGCAGACTGGAGAAGTCCAAGCGCAACACCCAGATGTTCCATGAGTAGAATGACCGCGAAGAAACCATCCAACGGGTGGTGTCCATCCAACGGGTGGTGTCCATCCAACGGGTGGTTTCATGAGGGAATGAGGGAAGGACCCCTATAAGCCATCCAACTGGTGGTTTCCTTTTTTCGGGAATCTCCAGGTTGATTCCCTCATCCCTACTGAGCACCATCAAGAAAAAACAGAAGAGAAGACACGGTTCTTGAAGTTTCGGTCGGGGGCTCAGACATTTACATGGATTCGTGTCAACACATGTTCAGAAGTTTCGTAGACATCGGGGTTTGAGTTGTTTTTCCCCGTACCACCATTTGGAGGTAATTTTGAGGATGTGAACTTGACTGGTCCAGTGGAAGTCAAAGACCAATTGCACAGTTTTTTTCCTGATGCTTCAATGGCCCTTGCCATTGCACGCTCAATTGTCCCTGGGATGTCTTGAGGCCTTCCACTTGTGCCTTTTGGCTTTTGTTTGCCAAAAGGTTCACTGGCAAAGACAGATCGGCATGCGATTCTGTGAATTTTCTATGCTGCTTGTTTCTCCGTTGTTGTTCCTGGGGGTATGATGAGTGTGTGGGTGGTTGACGTAGAGGCCCGAGTCGGTTTGAAGTCTCAAACCGGTACTTTTGTTCTTGACTCCGGGCTCGGATTGCCTGCCACAGCCTTCAGGGTCTTTTGTTTACCCGTTTCTGATTTTCTGGATCGGTTAGACAACCAAAAGAACACCACCCCTTTGTTTCCATATCTCATACGCATATAGTATGCTGTCCATTTAGCTGCTTTCTTTTTATGGGGCTCAAAGATGGTTGGTGGGCATGAATCTATATGTCCATTTGCTCAATAATATGTTGTGTGTGTTTCCACTTGCTGTTCTTTTTTTTACAGGAAAACCATCACCACTGGAAATACGTTCTCATTTTCTCCAGTGGGCGCAAACAAAATGGAATCTGAAGGGTGTCATACCCATGCTCGTGAATTTGGGCTTGCACTGGCAGCTGGCCTGGACTCAGGAATGGGCTGCCGAAGCTGCGCAAGAATCAGAAGAAGGGGGAGGAGGCGTTTTTGGCTTCCTTCAAACCCCACAAAGGGAACCTCTAGGGGTTGATTCCTTTTCCATTCTTTTCAGCCATCGCTCTTTTCAAAAAACAGCCATTCCCCAGGGTGTTTGGTGGTTCTCTAGAAAGAAGGATCCCTGGAAAGAACGGGGAAGCTACCCCCAGACTTACAAAAGCGACGTACCCATTCCTGCAGTGGCCCCCTCCCCAAAAAAAGTGTAGGAAAGGTGATTCAAGCCATGTTGGGGAGCAAACTGCCGCGAGATCTGCGAACGGGTTGGAGAAGTTTAGTCGGACGTTTTTTTTTTCAGGGGATGCAAAGCGTGCGCTGGAGACGTGCCGGTTCATTGGTCTCATTCGGACTGAGAAATGTTTTGATTCAAACGATCTCTGAGCCCATGAATCCAGCACTTGACTGCCGCGCTGTGGCCACTATGGGTTTCCCAGGAAGCAACCGACTGACAGACCTCTTTCTGCATGCATAATGCTGCATAATGATGAAAAAACATCGAAAAAACAAAAAGCAAAAGCGGAACTTGAAAAAACACAAGAGAAATCAACTAACCCGACAAACCGACAAACAGAGAACTCCGCAGGAGTTTAGCATGCTTTCAGTGGGAGCAGGGGTTTCCCTTGCAGGCTCTAGAGGTCAAGCCCTCCAATCAGCCGACCCCGATTTTTTTGAGGCCCTTGACATGTCGCCTTTTCGAGGACAAAAGCCGCTGGCCGGGAGGGAATTCTTGAGATCCCACTTTGCTTGCTTCTTTTGGCGCGCCTCGTCCTCGCCTAGGCAACGGCCTGCCTGAAAAGAATCCCCCCTTCTGCTCGGCCGAAACAAATTTCCATGGACGGACCCCACCCCACCCCACCCACCACCCCCACCCCCACCCCCACCCCCCCCACCTCACCTCACCCCACCCCAATCCACCCCACCCACCCACAGTGTTTTGTTTGGCTTCCTTCCAACAACCTCCCAGCAAAACCCGGAAGCGGAAGCAAGTGGACCCTCGGATGCGATTTCTGCGCGAGTCGGAAGGTCGAGGAGCAGCTCAATAGCCTGGGCTACGATGGGGCCAAGGCGGGCTGCCTTCGGTCTTCCATGGCTCGGCTTGCTTGCTGCGAGAGGTCAGGTGGATTTTATATTAGTCAACCTCAGTTTATGAATAGGGGGGGCTGCTTTCCCCTGGGTGAAATGTGGGGAATCAGACTCCTTGACCAGTTTTGGAGGGGCCAAAAACCAGCCCCCTATTAGTAAACGGGGGTTGATCAATAAATATGGGATCAACATTAGGGAATGACCACTTCTGGGTGTTGTGAATGAACCGGAGGATTCCTGAATAAAGGAAACCATAGGTTGGATGGTGTTTTTGAGATCATTCCATGTCTCATTCCCTGCTCAAAACCAAACCGGAGCCATCTCTCCTCAAATGGCCATCGTTTCAAGGGAAACCACCAGTAAATTGAGCAACTTTTGATTTGGGGAAGGAAATCCAGTGACCCCGGACCCCTGTTTTGCTGCCTTTTTTTTTGCGAGTCTCCCTTCAGGTTGATATCTGAGAATCCAGGCAACCCTGGAGCCATTTGGCTTGGCCATTTTTGGTGAAGGGTTGAACCCACGGTTGCTTCGCCGCACCGAACAAATGTTGTCGCGATTTCCCAGCCAGCAAGTGGGAAGAGTCCTCGCAAACTGGGAGTCTCTTCCTGCTACCTGCTAACCTGCCTGGGTTTGGGAGTTTTCTTTGGGGGGTTGGGGTTGGGAAGGGGGAATTATATGAGTAACCTTGAGGGGCCGACATAGTTTCCGCTTGCTGAAATGAATGTGTTTGATTTTCCCCTGTTGGTGCTAAAGGGAATCTATCACCTGGACATATGTTCAAATGTTGTCCAAGGGGCGAAGAAGCAAATGGAAGCCTCGTTTTGCCCATAGCCGGGCAACACAAAACACCTCAGAGCTTCGGGTAGATGAATTTATCTTTTCGGAGCTGGTACCCCTTGTGTGCGGTTTTAAAGGGAAAACAAAACTCAGTTGTTCAGTGGCACCGATTCCTTTTCCGTCTTTTTTCAAGCCATTCCAATGCTGTTGTTTGTTCAACTCAGTTGTTCAGTGGCACCCGTTTTCCCTTTTTTTTGTGGCTGCCCCACTAAAAATGGCCTTCCCAAAAAGGGTTCCCTTTTTTTCCAGGGTCACTGAACAACTGAGAAAAGGAAGTCCGCCATCTTTGGGGCGGCCCTACAAGACACAGCCAGATAGCAATGCACTTGGGGGTTGATTCGATCCTCATGTCTCAAGTCTTTCAGTTCGCATGTTTTGTATTGGTCGCCTTATTTCAGTTTTCTGTGGCCATCAGCAAATGAGTTTAGTACCTGTGGTTCGCCAATTTTAGATCTCCGTGTTGCATCGGACAGTACCCGGACAAATGGCACGACCTCATTTGTGGGTTCCAGGTCAATTTGTGGACATCAAAGGGAAACGGAAGCTTCAGGATTTGACGCCCCCTTAGAACCAGTCAACATGGGCAGTTGTGATGCGGAGGTCGAACCCTTGAAATTCATGGGGGCTTCCCATGGAGAATCTCAACGCACCTTGGAAGAACTTGTTATGGCGACCCTGTGACTGAGACATCAACGCCCGTGATCCCCAGAAGCGCAACTTGGGTCTCGACACGGGAAGGCTTCTTTTGACAGCTCATGTGAATCAAAGGGCACTCTTTCGGGACCAAGGGGACGTGTGCAAGTGGACGTGTTGCTTGGGTTATCTCTTGTTCTGCAACGGAAACTAGGTCCCCCAGTAGTGCCCTTTTACCTTTTTTTGGAGTTTTGGGTTCCCCTTCTAAAATAGACAAAACCGAAGAAAAAGAAACGGTACCCTTCTTCTAAGCTCTCTACTGGAGGACCTAGGAAAACCAAAAAAACATCACGCAGTGCCCCATGTGCCGTTCGAAGGTGAGAGGACGATCTGCTTCAAAGAAGCGGGGCACGTCCTTGTTGAGCAGTGGCCTCAGGTCTGAAGGAACGACATGGCAGGAGTTTTCCTGAAAGCCAACAAGGAGGGATCCGGGTTTGAGGTAATTCTGGGCCTGTGTCTTTTTCGAGGGCACCATTTTTTGAGGCACCATTTTTTGAGGGCACATTTTTTTAGAGGGCGTTTGTCTTTTTTGAGAGCACCATTTTTCGGAGGGCGCCACTTGTTTTAGGTCTTTTGTCTTTTTGAGGGCACCATTTTCTCGGGGGCACCCCGAGTTTTGTTTGTTTGTTCCTAGGTTTGGCGAGCTGGGTTGTGGAAGAGTCCCCCGGTCGGTCGGTCGTTCGGTCGGTCGGTCGTCGGTCGGTCGTCGGGTGTGGCTGCTTTTTGGCGTTCGCGGCTTTTTGGGTGCTTTGGTGGCTTTTGGCGGTCTTGTCGTGGCTTTGGCTTCAAACATCCTGAGCTAGCATCACTGCCAGGACAGTGTTTTCAACCCACCCCAACACATTTGTTTGTGTTTTTTTTCATTTGCAAACCTTCATTTTGGGGGGGTCCCCGCCAAAAAGTCCGCAATGGAAAGAGCCGATTCGCGTCGGAAGTGAGCATTGCTTTTGAAGACAGTCAGACGTTCTCGGATACCTATCCTTCCCTTTGGGTACCAGTCGGCCTATGTCGGCCTGCGAGTCGCACCAAGGCCCATTGAAAGTTCCGTAAGACTTCTCCATGGTTTTCCAGAGGTGGACAACTTCCAACGGCCGATTTAAGTGAAGTGGATGTGGCTCAAAAATGGGGGTCCAAAGTTGGAACCCTGGAAAATAGAAAGGTCGACTGAAACCTACCCTTTCCCCGGCTGCGGAATTTTGAGCCACACCCAAGTGATTGTTTTGCTTGGTTGATCCGGGTGCGTTTTGTTTTGCCATGGCGAGACGATGTGTCCCTTGGTTTGGCCTTGGAGAAGGTCGCTGTGCCGGGAGAACTCCAACCCTTTGGTTTTTGGTAGGTGCCAGGGAATCTCCCGGCACATGCAAGGGAGAAACCTACCAAAGAGCAATGTCACGGGAGTTTCTCAAAATGGTGGAAGCCCCTTGTGGGTGGCTTTACGGGAAAAGCAAAAGAGCACAGGCCGTTTGGCGTTCCCCCATGCCCAAGGAAAGCGAAAGCACGATGTCGCCGCTGGCGGGGAGGAGGAGGCACGGACTTGCACGCTTTGGGGTTGCCAAAGGATGTTTGGTTCAGGGAAACCAACTAGGGATATTCGGGGGATTCCCCTGAATGTTGACCGTGCCCCTGGTTTTACTGGGGATTCAGACCACTTTTGGAGGGGAATCATATTGAGTCACAGGCGTTGACTAATCCGGGGTCGACATTCAGGGAAGCCAGTTGGCGGCAAGGGAATCCCCCCATATCCCCGCTTGTTCGTTGTCCAATTGGTGCTTGATTCGGCATACGGCTTGGCTCTTGATCCGAACGTGGACTGAGACCCCATCCGTTGATTTCGTCAACGGCCCCTTTGATCCGAACGTCCCAACGAAGACCTTTAAGTGGAAAATCCTCGGGTCGAACTGGGTCAAGGGAAGAGTTTTGTTTTGGTCCAACAGTATGCTTTTTTGACACCATTTGATTTAAGAGTCTAAGGAAAGTGTCCTTAGACTCTTAAATGAAATGGTGTCAAAAGCACACTGTTGGACCTGATTTCATGTGGCCCCCGCCCCTCCCCAGAACAGTCAAACCCGTGCTCCCGGGTCCTGAATAATGGCCTGCCAGGGAGCTTGGATGACAAAAAAGTATTGCTTTACTAGGTCCCCCTGTAGTGCGCTTTTACCATTTTTGGGGGAGGGTTCCCCTACTAAAATAGACTACAGAAACAAGACACGGTACCCTTATTCAAAGCTCTCTACTACAAAACCTAGTTTAGTATGGCCAATACTTAATTTAGTATTGCCAGCACTCCCTGTTGGATTACCATTACATAGTTTAGTCTTGCCCAGTTTAAGTTTTGTATTGCCAGGACTTGCTCTCAGACTCCCAGTGCTTAGTCTAGTGTGGCCTTGTCTAAATTTAGCATTGTCAGGACTTACTTTTAGATTCCCAGTACTTTGCTTCGTATTGGCTAGTCCAAATAAAATACAGCCAGGACTTTCTCAGATTCCAAGTCCATGGCTTAGTATTGCCAGATTTGACCCACCCCAAGAAAACTTGACGTTAAAGAAGACCCCCAAAACAGTCACGTTAAACAGAATCAGGGCCTCTTGTGGGCAACCCCGTTTGTGTGATTGGTTGCCGCTACTTCCTTGTAAAGAAGTTATCTTGGCATCTGACCCGTGTCATGGCTGGATCCGATTTTGCTTCTTCGTTCGTTTGCAAAACTGGTACAATTCCCAGACCATTGGCCAATTTTGCAGGAATCCCAGGAAGGATCCCTCTTCCGAGGATCGGGGATGGTTGGCACCAGAGCGATTTGTTCAGGGGTTGCCACAGTCATGTAAGAATTGGAGTCCGAAGTTTCTGCAACCTACCACTGCACCTGGAGGGTCTCAGCCATGCTGCGAGGTTTGTAGTCTTTTAGTGTTTATAGTGGGGATTTCCATTTAACCCGCTAAATGTCAAACTTTTAGCAGGAGATCTGAAGAGAGAGAGATGAGATCTGAGGAGAGCCCAGTCACTTCCCCGCTTTTCTGGACTCGATCGGGGGCTTGGTTTTGGAGCCCAAGAGATGGGGTTCGTCCGAAAACGGCGAGTTTCTCAAACCGTGGAGGGCGTTGGACACTTATTGACTCAACGAAATTGGACTGTGGCATTTTCTCACCAAGTTGCAACTTGTGTCCCTTATCGGGCCTTAGAACATGGGGAAAGAAGGATCATTCGCTCGGCCTTAGAGCGAAGGGCTTTCTTTCGTTCATGACTCGGGCCTGTACCTGGAGTCTCCTGGCCCTTCAAACATGGGGTGACGAGCCCCTGGAGCCTCAAAGTACCAACTTAAACCCAAAGAAGGAGAGCGAATTATCTTTTTAGGGGTAGTTGGGTTTAGGCCCTTTCTTTCGAGCGCTGGTCTCATTGTCCAAGCCGAACTGTGGGCTCGGCGCCACTTCGCCCAAGTCGGCCAAGTCTCAGGCTCAAAGCGCGGCAAGGGGCCGCAGCAGGCCGGCGTCGCAAATAGTCGGAAACCGCTGGTTTCCGAGACCCTGGGAATTGTCAGGTATGGTTCTTGGAGGTACTGTGGATGGACGCAATTCTGCACCCCTAAGAAACCCTGGTTATACCAGTGAGTTGTTGCACCTTGGATGGGTGCAAAGACCATGGCGTGCTGCACGACACGCGTGCAAAATGTCCCAGGGCTTTGACAGGTACTCTGCGCGGCTCCATTCGTTGGAAGGCATCAAAGTATACTCCATGACAGGGCTTGATTCATGGAGCATACCAGTAGAAGCCGTTGAGCAGAAAGGCGAACTACATCCATCAATCATAGCTGGGACATGTTCAGTGAAATCGCCAAGTGCATGTTGAGATATCCCAAAATCACACACTTCCGTTGCCGCCTCCCGCATCTTACCCGAAAGAAAGATGCAAGCTTTCGAGCAGGCGCCCGAGGCATTTTCCACAGCCATACCGTGTTCTGAACTTGCCCGTAGGCTCAGCTGCTGAGCTGCTCATGACCAGCACTCCAAGACAACTTGCCTGCCAGCTCCTTGCATCGTTGCAAAATAATAAGTCCTGTTTCCTGATGATTCCCCTATAAATACCAACAACTAGTGTATTCCCATGGTGTCAAAGTGGTGCAAACGGATTTCGTCCATCCACTGGATGCGTCTCGAATCTCCAGGAGCCGCAAGAACTCTGTCATGGCGGAGGAGACCTCGCAGGCGGAAAACGGCCTGCAACAGTTGACACAAGTTGAAAACTCCGATGGCATGTTTTCCTTGGGGGACACATATCTTTGTTGCATGTTGCCTGGATGTTGGGACTTTAACTTGTTGCCAACTGATGGGTTTTCCATTAAACAACTAGAAGCTAAACTTTTAGCAGGGGAGCAGAAAGCAACAGAGATATGGTGGCCCTTTGGGGTTCCTGAAAATGTGCCTGAAAACGGGCAACCAATGTATAGCGGGATTGTGGTTCGTTTATAGCTGGGTCCTGGTAGCTTGTAACATCGGAGCCATGGCTAGGCCTGTTGCCTCACTTCAAACAATGTCAATGGCTGTAGCTTAAGTAGGTTGAACCTGCAAGAGGGATGCCAAAGCTCGAACGGAAGAGGCCTAGAAGAGGGTTTTTTGGCACTTGGACCGGGCATGGTTGGAGATTGGTTGGTTTAAAATTCATGTGTTGTCCACACAAAGCGCCCAGACAAGCCAAGTTTGGCAAGGAGTTGCATCACCCGGACTTTGGTTTTCACCCACAAGAAGGCACATGGTGAGGTCCAACACCTTGGAATGGAGGTCCATGTGCAACTCGATGGAGGAAAACATGATGCTGAGGGGGGTGGATGTGTTTTGGCCACACTTAATGCTATTGCGATTCGTTGGGAGGACATGGTGGGACACCACGATCCCCTGGCTTCACACAAAAGCCCAGGACTTCCCTGAATGAACATGAAACAGTTTGTTGCTTACGCATTTCAATGTAGGCATGGCTTGAAGAGACATGATGGCACGAGCCATTCAGAGACTCTGAATCTGAAGAATGCGAACCCGGTTCGGCTTGCAGCGCCTTGCCCGTGGTTTTTCTTTCTTTGCTTGCCTGTTTTGAAGGGTGCTAAATATCCCACAACATCCCTTTGTGTATCGTTCTAGCTCACGAGGGGATTTGAAGGAGCTTTCCCGTGATCAAGGTTCACTGCCAGCCTCCAGCGACTTCTTACAACCTCCCAGGCCCATTCCCTCCCAAGTCCGGTCCAAAAAGATAGTCGTTGGGTAAGCTCAGTTGTTCAGTGGCACCCTTTTTCCTTTTGTTTTGGGTGGCTGCCCCACTAAAACACGTCTTCCCCAAAAAGGGTTCCCCTTTTTTCCAGGGTCTCTGAACAACTGAGTAGGAGCATCCTCAGGGCCCGGTGAGTTTTCTTTGCGTCGCCAGTTTGTGGAGAAGAAGCGGAGAAAGACCATGCGCCTACACACCAAGAAGGGCCACAAGGGCGAGGCCTAAAACGGAGGGCGCCGTGTTCTCGATGTTCTCGGTGTGCTTCCAGTTGGCTTGCAGGGTCCCAGCCATCCTTCTTAGGTTTTGAGGTTGTGAGTTGGTTTACTGGGGTTTCTATTTAACCCACTAAAACTTTAACTTTCAGCAGGGGATCTGAGGACAGCCATAGGGTGCGGTTCACAACTTTTTGAGGAGGGTTGTTGTATGCTGTTTTCAGGGACGCCAAGGGCAAACTGGGCATTCTGTTCCGCTCAGGGGAACCCCGTGCTGGGGTTGGTTGAAATGGGGAACCAAGGTGGAGACAATCCCAAGCCAGAGTGTAGCAGTTCAACATTGGAAGCCCAAGAAGAAGCCAAGAGGGGCGCAATATCAATAGCACAGCTGAGCAACATCGACAGAACGGCACAGCTGAGAACCAACCTTTTATTGGGCGTCCCATTTTGGCGGTTGCGTTCTTCATCGTTTGGGGCCAAACCCTCCACAAGTCCACCAGGCTGATGAAACTCGTTGACATGAGTGCATGACGTTTGGCCTTTGGCAGTGACTAGCGATGCCGAGTATGAATTTCAGTCAAAGCATAGTCCCAGCAGGTTTTCTTCCTTTAACTTTGCACTGGCCGCATTGTGGTTCAATTCTAGGGGTTGAGTCCAACCATTATTTTCAACCATCGTTCTTTCTAAAAACCGGATCCATTTTCCCTGAGTAACCCCGGAGGTTTTCTAGACAGATTTGGATCCCTGGAAGGCACCCCTAGATCAATTCCTACAAGAAAGAGGTGCAAATAGGGCTGTGGGTCAAAACCAATGGTACCATTTTGGGGTGGGTGCACCACTCATTTTAGTCTATTTCAGTGGGGATTGGGATGTTCACTGGGGGTACGGGATTTTGACCCACAGCCATATGGAGGTGTTTCTTGTGTCAGGCAGACAGATGGATCCCCGACCTCAAGCCAAAGCACTTGTACTCAGGCGCGAACCGATGGACCGGTGTCCCCCGTATTTTTCAGGACCTTTTGGTCGAAACGCGGTGCCCAAACCTATACCTCGACCACTCTCAGAAAGGGATCGAAGGATTGTCCGTTGACGTTTGCTTAAAAATTAACGGTGGATGGTCGCTTCAGCATGTGTGACCTGCCAGAAAATCCCATTCAGTGGTTTCCCGATTCATCCTTGTCCCAAGATCTTTTCCTAACCGGCCTTTTCAGGGGCTTCCGAAGCTCACTCCCATGGCACATTCCAAGCACAAAACCCACGCCCAGAAGCACCGAACAACTTCACAGCGCAGCAAGAAAACCAAACAACCTTTCCGGGGCTTGTCCAAAAAATATGAACCCTGGTTGAAAGGGTTTATTTCGTTCTTTGCTTTTCTGGCTCCTAATGAAGTTGGCATACCCAACCAGCAGGTACAGTTCACACACAGTTGATAAACCTCTCTCCCGGTACTCGCTGGATCGGCTGAGGCAAGCGTGGTATCGGCAAAACCGACCGGCGGTGAGCCCTTTTGGCTCGCGGAGACTCTGGCGCATTTGTCTTGGCGCGTTTGCCTTGAGACAAGAAAGGGAACCTGGGCAAAGAGGGCGGTTTTCTCTTCAAAAACATCCATTTGGCTATGGGTCAAAGTTCGACCACCAGAAAAACCACAGATTTTAGTCCTTGGTTCCATTCCCCAGGGCAAGCCATGAAGGGGCCTTTTGGGTACCCATTTTTGACCCACACCCATTTCATGAACTTGTAGCAAGGTAGCCAGTTCGCCAGGTAAAGCGAGCTCGAGGAAGGTTGACTGAGGGATCCTTGATTCATGGGAGCATCACGGAACACTTGCCGGCATGCGGGTTCCAAACGTAGCCACTAGCACAAACCCACCACTCAGCAAGATGCACTATTTTTCAGAACCTAGGTGGCAATGAACAATTTAATGAGAAGCATAAGAACTACAAATGCCACCCAAGTCATGTCGACCAGAGGGTCCTTAGAAGAAGAAAGAGTATCACTTATGTAACCCTATTTTAAAAACTCCTTGTGAACAGTCCGGGGCCGACATTTGACACCACACCCTTTAAAAGGCGAATATTTTGAAGTGGGTAGACTGCTGTTGCCATCTCCCCCCGCGCCAGGTGTTTGGACATAAGCCGCTCCAGGGAAATGAGCCGGCAAGGAGATGCGGACGAGTTGGAAGTCGACAAACACTCGCCACCTTGCAAACTCAACCAAAAACAGGATTGTGAATCAGAAAGGATAGGCACACCAGATTTCTGGTTGGGGACAGTTACGATTCTGAAATGTGGATCCTCGTCCCATGCAGGCTGTCAGTGCATTCGGGAAGCAACTGGATGGTAGGCTCGTTCAATGCACGAGCTAAGCGGGTCTCTAAGAAGCTCAAATAGCAACTAGAACTGTATAAACTGCATACAACAACTGCATACACAAACTGCATAAACAAACCGCATAAACTGTTTATACTGCATAAACGACTCATCGCATCGTCAAACAACAACGAACTGCATAAGCAACACATGTCAACTATGGTGACTTCGCTTTCCAAGCAATGCGTCCGCTCTTCCTTGATGTGTCGGCCCTGTCCGTCCGCCGGGCAGTCCCTGGGGTGCTGGCCGGACAAAAAGCAGCGGTGCCTTGAGTCTGCCCGAGGCATTCCGAAATCACTTGGACAATTGCATTTTTTGTTTTTCTCTCCTCTCTCTCTCTCTCTCTCTCTCTCTCTCTCTTTGGCGGCACTCCGAAGTGAAAAACTCCATGGCCGAGCGGCGAGCCGATTCGACACGGATTGCATTTCTCATAGTAAGGGTCCGATGGATTCCGGCATCAATCTCAATGGATGCTCCAGACCAAGAGCCACGGGAACAGGCAGAGAACGTGTCCAACAGGGATGGATGTCTTCGGAAAAACGATGTAAGGAGCAGATCCAAAATCCCATGGTGGTGATTTCTAACGTTTCGGTGTCTCTTCTTTTGGACATCATGTCTTTTCATCCCGTTTGCCGGATTGGCCCGAGGGCCAGACAATTCTTGCCAGGTGCCAGCCCTCCAGAGGCTACATTGAGGCAGTTGCGAGTGAACGGCCTACTTCATGAAGCTGCCTCCTTGGTGCAAACCAACGACATGATGACGCCCCCACTTTTGGCCAAGACTCTCAGTTGAACCCTCTTTCCAAACTTCCTTGACGTAAGATGGGCATGAGCGGCAGAGCGACACCCAGTACGATTCGCCCTTGCCTGGGAACTGGAATCGATCGAGATGTGATTGCGCTGGAAAAACTCGCCATGGACGCAGCAAGCTGGCTGTCTTCACTGGCAGCGGAGTCGACGCTCCTCCGTCTGCAGCAGATTGGGCTCCACTGACTGGTGCAGATCTTTGCCGAGTCAGGGCCCCGTAACTATCTGACTACTCACCCAGCCAGTGGGCGCACTTTACACTTTTTTTTCTTGCCGGCTTTCCCTTTATTTGAGTGGTGGTGGATGTTTGCCGAGGATCATTTTATCAGTTATTTTTTCATAGGTTGGATTTTAACTTTTTGTCCTTCCTTATCAAAGTCTGTGTAATAACGGATACGTCGGTTGTACCCAACCTATCTGACTATATCCTATGATCAAAATGGACACAATGGCTGGGTAGTCTCTAGTGATGCAGTCGATGGCCAGCCCTTTGGTTTCTACACGGCTTCTTTCTGCACAGTATTTCAAAAGTTGGAGAAGGATATGTGTCAAGCGAGGGGTGCCCCAAAATCGGTTTTCTCTTCATGTCCCTTTCAGCCAGCCTTAAAAAGAGGTACGGAGCTCCAAAAATAACAGCTCAGTTGTCAATTGTCAAGTGGCATCCTTTTTCCCTTTTTTGCTGGTGGCTGCCCCATCAAAAATCCGGTCTTCCCCGAAAAGGGTTCCCTTTTTTTCCAGGGTCACTGGACAACTGAGACAGAAGCGATGGCCGGCCCCCTACTGCAGGCCTGTGATCGAGGAGCCCAAAAGCGAGGAGGAAGATGCCGGCACCGCCGCGAGCTGAGCGAAATCGAATTCCCCCCCCCACCAACTAACATAGCACCAGACATGGGACCAACTGCAACCTTTGGGATTGGGTTCTTGAAGTGTTCAACCCTGATATGCTATATATCTACATATATATACATATATATGTGGGTATGGGTCAAATTTTAACCACCCAGGAATTGGACCACTGGTTTTAGTCCTTGGTTCCATTTACCAGGGCAACCCATCTTGGGGTTACCCTATTTTTGACCCACAGCCATGTGAAAGCAGACGGGCCAGGTTTGGGGTTCGCGTGGGTCGTCTGGGGGAGTCTTGTTTGTGGCGGAATCGTTCGGCATTTTACGGGAAACCAAGACCAACCATTTCGACGACCGTTGCAGCCCCCTTTTTGGATGTCGGGATAGTGCAGAATTGGAAAAGGAGCCCCTGGATGTCAGGAAGGCCATGCGGCACACTGTCCGACAGTGTCCAATGGTTTGGGCTCCCTGGCGCGTTATCCGATTCCAATCGGATGACGTGTGACGTCCGCTGTAGCCCTTCTTGATTGAATCCAGCGGTCTCCGAGTCGCAGAGCGGAGTCCCAAAAGGAATCGCAATCAGCCCACATGTGGGTGTGGGTCAATATTAAACCACCAGACGAAACGCAGATTTCAGTCCAGGTTTCCATTTACCACATGGTTGTCGTTGGGAAACATTTTACATGTTTGCTTATTGTGGTTTAGTGGTTGAAATCCCCACTTAGCTGCTAAAATTTAATTATTTGTTCCCCTTCCAACATCAACCAAGACCAGGGCAACCCATTTTGGGGTTACCCGAATTTTGACCCGCCATGTGCGGTTTCGACTCGGGATGGGAGTCCCCTGCGTGCCGCCCGTGTCGTCACATTGCGTCACCGCCCGGGTCAACAACTCGTGAGTGTCTGCCTTGTGCTGCCACGTCATGACGAATCATATACCCTCCCACCAGCTAATATGGGTAAGTGCACAGACCCCTGTTGAAAGACTCTATTTTCCTCCTCTTGGTTAGTTGGCCTTTTTGCACTTCCATGATAGTTGGTGGGAGGGTAATTGTCTCCGTGATTAGACCTGTTGTCGTGATTCGTTTGATCATCGTTGTTCTTCTTGTTGACAGTATTCAGTTTGAGAAGCAACACAACCTGTGCGCCCGTAGTTTGACCCATGCTTGATAAGAACCCTCGGTTACGACTCCTACAAGCGTTCTTGTATTTTGTTCCTTCTTGCAGGTTCAACCAGCAGGGAACGAGAAAGGGAATGCATTTGACCCAAAAAAAAACGGACACAAAAGGAAAAGCAAGAAAACACACAACAATCAACATATGGCGTCCTTTCGGGAATCCGCCCCCGCTCTTTTTAGAACGGGTCAGCCGGACTCCCCAGGCCCTGGAGGAGTTGCTGTCCATGGGCTTCAAGGAGAAGGAGGCGACGGAGGCCCTCGCCAGCCCCGCGGACGGGGAGCGAGCGGAAGAGACGAGCGGAAGCCGAAGCGAGCTGTCGGGCGGTTGCGCGGAAAGCGGCCGGCCGTCCGTCCGTTTGGGATTTCTGAAAAAGATTGCTTGGAAAAGAGATGTCAGGTCCTTAGTTGGTGGTTTGGACCTTGCCCCTCATGTTCCTCTTGTTTTCCCTGTAAAACCCACTAAAAACGGATGTGTTGCTCTTGGCTTCCCTATAAAACCACAAACAAAACGGATGTATTCCTCTTGGTTTCCCTATAAAACCCACTAAAAGCTGGATGTCAGGTCGCCCGTCAGGTTGGATTGGATTTGGAATTGAAGTCCTGATTCTTGTCGCTACATGGGGGAGTCCCATGGGAAAAAAAATGAATCACCAAAAGGATTGCTGGGACCAGATGTTGCCATCAAAAGACCTGCTTCATTGGGGTTAGGGAGGGTCATCCAGGATTTGTCAGCCGCCCTTTTTCAGGGCTCTCTCAGTAACACGCTTTGGTGGTTTGGATTGGGAAATTGAAGCCCTGGTTCTTGTGGGTACATGAGAAACCCTTCTCAACCACCGGGCTTCAAACCACCAAATCAGTGGGAAGCTGAAGAATGGTGGTTTCGTGGCTTGACAGTCCAAAGAGGAATACTCTTTTTGGGGAGCTCTTTTTTGGAGGACTGGGTTTGGTCAGCATGACTTTGGCCAACATGTGGGTGTGCCGCAACAAAGAAGAGGCCCGAATTCGATAGTTTTCATGGACGGGTTTTGGGAGTTTGGGTCGTCACCATGAAATCCAATACGTTGAAAGATTTTGCGGCTGTTCGAGTGGGTATGAAGGTGACAAGGACTCTGGAAACATCCATGAGACATTGGGATCGACGTCTTCTGAATTGGGATCTTGCTTGAGGTTCCATATCAATATTTGTGTGTTTTTTGGCGGTACCCCTTCTTTGTGGTTTTTCAAGGGAAACCAAAAGGAACACCACCACTTGAAGGGGTCCCCGGTTTTTTTTTTTTAAAAAAAAAAAAAACAAAAAACAAAAAAAACACGCCCATATTGGGGGTTCCAGCATCCATAACGGGCGGGCCAGCCAGGCTCTCCCAAAGGCTGTTGTTTTATCAGATGTTTGCGTGGAACATCTGGGAAAGCACCTTCAAATATCCATGCCCAGTCACAAATGCTTGCCATTTCAGCCAGACGTGGGTAGAAATGCCATTAGGGTATGTTTTAATGGGAAGATTCCAAGAGCCTGCCATTGCCGGGCTGCCAGACCCGAGACCCTGTAAAGCTTGGTTGGTGAATTTCCTTTTGCCTGTCGGCAAAGGCCAATCCTGTTCCAATTCTGAGCCAGGGATCAAATTCTTTCCAACAGCCAGGTTGGCCTTTGCAGAAGCATAGGGAGCAAGGTGTTGAGGTTGGCCCGTCGAGCCATCGAGCGCGCTTCCCGGGCCAAACCATCATGAAGGTCCGTGAATTGGAGAATCCCAGCATTTTCCATGTGCGAAGTACTGCAATTTGTGTGGATACGTTCAGTACTCGTCGGAATCCAAGGGGTGCCCTTTTACAAACACTTTTTTTTGGTTGGGAGGGTTTTACTAAAATAGGCAGAGAAAAAGTTGGTACCCTTATAACCTCTCAGGCGAACCTACTGCAATTTGTGTAGATAGGTAAGCAAAAGGTTTTCCCTCAGGCCCGCAGCCCAGAATTGTGGTGGTCAAAACCGCTTTGGGATCGATCCCATTTTGGTTGGTTTGCTAGGTGACTATGTGGCTGTGGGTCAAAACCAAATGGGATCCCATTTTGGGGTAGGTGACTTCACCGGCCCCATTTTAGGTTAGCTATTGTGGTTGGATTGGGTCCCGTTCACGGGCTAACCGATTGGGATGTTGAAAAGATGGCCATGGTTTTCCTGAGGTGGGGGTGACCTCATGGAGGCGGTCGCCCTGCTGGCGAAAAAGCGGGCGGAAGAAGGCGGCCACACTGAAGCGCTCGCTTCCTGGGGCTATAGCTTTCCCAACAATTCTCGTGTGTGTGTGTGTGTTTTAGTGTTCAGTCTTCTTCTTTTTCTGAGAACCAGCAAGTGTGGATGTCGTTTCTGGGCCGTCAGAGTCCCTCAGAAGAGAAAGAAACGACCACCTCAGACTTGTTGGTTGACTGGCCAGCGAATCCCGAATCGCCGTGCCGTTTGCGGCTCCTGCGGCTCCTGGCGCCCTGTTCAGGGTTCTTGAAGCAAACCCCCCGGCCATTTTTTCTCCTTTTGTTTGGGGGGGCTCCCCCCGTTTGCAGACCAACTCTTGGAGTTCCCGGGTTGCTCTTGGCGCGCAGGGCCGCAGCAGAGCGAGGAGACGCTGGAGGTGGAAGGAATCCGCTGCGGCTTCAGCGAAGATGGCGAGCTGGTCATGTCGCTTGGTACGCTCAAAGTCAATGGAGGTCTGTTTCACGCTTTTGAACTCTGAAGCACACCACTGGAGCCACTTGCTCAAAACGGATTCGGGGAATGATGAAGGTTAGTAGGGGACAATCCCCTTGCCATAGCTGCGGAGATCCGCCCTTCAATTTCCTTACATGGTTCCGGGTCGACCATGTTGATACCGGGTTTTGATTGTGACTCACTTGTCCTCCCGGACGTAGGCTGCTGCACCCCTTGGACTTGGATTCTTGTTCCTGTTGATGTTGCGGCCTCAGATTTGTCATCAGAGGATGAAAGAGACGAGCTAAGGGCCAAAGGCCTGACCCCCACCAAACACTGGTTGGCGTGTTTGGCAAACCTCTTGCAGATCTGTCTGGGTGTTTTCTACCATTGCAGCTGCAATTGAGTGATGTATTGACATGGAATTTTCTGCAATACACGGTCAGTCGTTTTCATGATTGTTGTTGGGAAACATTTGACATTTTGGCTTATTGTGGTTTAGTGGGGAATCCCCACTTCACTGCTAAAATTCGATTTGTTGCTCCCCTTCCAACCTCACCCGAGGATTTTTGCGGGTTTGGAGCCTTTTTAGCATGAGAGCTCAGCATCGGGTTTGCGAGTCCGGCTGGCAACTGGCAACTGAAGCGCAGAAAAGCTGGGAGCATCTGGGGCACGACTCGACTCGACGACTGGAGGCTCCTGCCGGGGGACGAGCTGCGTCCAGGGCCTGTGGTGGGACACAAAGCGCCCGATGGGGCGGTGGTCTTCGATGGTATGGACGACTGGCTCTGGGAGCTTTACGAGGGGCACAAGCCCCGGCCGGGAGGCGCCGGGCGATCGGGCCATGGGTCCACGCAGTTTCGGGGTACCTTCCATTTCCATTCTGAACCCAGGGAAATCCGGATCTTTTCAGGAAACCAGCAAAACCCCAGAAGAAACAGATCCGGTGTTTGAAAAGAATGATGGTTGAAAAGAATGGTTGGAATCAACCCCTCGTAAAATGCTTTGTTTATAGGGGGGGTGGTCCATTTTGTGGAAGAGTGCCTTGGTACCCAGAAAAGGGACCTTGAATCCCCGTTTGGGGGCCCCATTTTGTCGTGAGGCATGTTGAAACCTGTAAAGGACTTGCATGAGAAGCTGGGTCCCTGTGAAGATTCGGCACTAGACGGGTGCGCTTCGCTCCAGCTTGGCCTCGCAGCCTTTCAGGTTTGCTCTGAGGGTTTTTGTATTACACCCTGGGAATACGTTTTCTGGGTACTAACCCCATTTAGGCACATTTCCGGATATAAAACCGTGTTATGTTGAACCATTCTGGGTCATTTCCCAAGGGTGGATCCCAGCGTGCATTACAAAGACCCTCAGATTTGCCTGAGTCCTCTTTTTCCCTCCGAAGTTTGGAAGCCCACTGCCGAATGCCTACTGCTGCTCGTGCGGGGCCCTGGTTTCCCTTTTCAAGGACGGAGCGCGGGTTGTCGGTTTTGGGTCTGTCGCAACTGTAAAAGCTCCATATCACCAAACCACCAATCAGAGGGAAGCTCATACTGTAGATGGACGAAATCCTGCACCACCTAAGAAGCCTGGGAATGATGATTCCAGTGTAAATACCAACAAAGCAATGGTTTCTCACGGTGTCATTTCCTGGTGCGAAATGGATTCTGTCCATCCACAGTACTGTGGATGGACGAAATCCTGCACCGCCTAAGAAACCCTGGTTTCTGATGATTCCCCCCGTAATGTTCTCTCATGGTGTCGATCGAAGTGATGCAAGAATTGGTCCATCCACGGCAGAGTTGTGGGATCAAGAGGTCTATTCCCACTTCTGTGATACAAGAAAAAAACCCTCTTTATACAGGAAATTGGTCTTTGGGCCTTTTGTTTTTTTGTGTCACAGATTCGTGGATTCCATTTCAACCACCGCCCTGATCCACGTTTTGTTTTATCGGTTTTCGGCTGTCCAGCCTTCGACTTGGAGTCCTTCCGAGGCGAGCTCCCGGCCTTCGACAGCGAGGCCGCGCTCGCCGCCCTGGAGGAGATCGGGCTGGGTTTGGTTACCCCGCATCTAGCCTTCACATGAGCAGTTGTTGAGTGGCACCCATTGTTTTTCCCTTTTTCTTGGTGGCTGCCCCACTAAAAATCCGGTCTTCCGCAAAAAGGGTTCCCTTTTTTGCAGGGTCACTGAACAACTGAGAATGAGCCGCTTGCTCAAAACCGATTCGGATAGAGGAAGGTTAGGAAGGAGCAATCCCCTTGCCATAAATAGCTGCAGATATCCGCCTGCTTAATTCTTGAAGCATGGTTCTGGGCTTGGACCATCTTAATACTTTTTTCTTTTTTTTTATTATGACTCAAATGGGTCGACTGTTGGTAGTCACCATGGATTCTGTGCGATAGGTATCTAGGGTTCCGTACGACTCTGTTTTTGTTTTCATGCACATTTACCCTTCAAATGAGCCACTGCTCAAAACCCCAGCTGAGAGCTATGGATTTGGTCTCCTAGGCGAGAAGGGGTGGTTTGGGCCAGCTTTCAGTGGAGGGTTTCAGAGGGTTTCCGGGGCTTTTGGGCATACCGCCTGAGCCCTTTGCTCAAAACCCGGGCAGATGAAGGTTAGGGAGGGGCAAATCCAACAACAGCTAGCTGCAGATATCCGCCTTCCGAATTCTTGAAGCATGGTTCTGGGCTTGGACCATTTTAGTACCGGGTTTTGATTATGACTCAAATGGGTCAACTGTTGGGAGCCATTGCTTCTGTGCACCACTCGGGTTTTTACATGGCAATGGGAACTGAAATAGCCTTGGCTTGCAAAGGAAAGCATTCGTTGAGCATGCTAAATGCAAGAAATTGGGAGATACAACTTTGATTCCATGTCAAAGGGGCATGGGAGAATGATTGTGGCGCGCGTCGCATCTTTGGCGACGCAGATTGTCGCCCTATTCTTTGCGCCCGGATCTTTTTGGTAGGCAGCGTGCAGGAAGCCCTGCAGAACATGGATACCTCGGCAAAATGCAAGTCGTCCGTGCCATGTTGAACGCCGGGCCCAGCCGGAAAATTGGAGCTACTAGGGCTGGCTTTGCCTTCTTAGAATCTGAGTTAGACTTAGGATACATTTTACATTTTACCAGTGACTCAAAGGGAAGCAAACAATAGAATATACATTCTATAACTGGGCCTAAGTCTAATCATAGAATTGCCAATGACATTTTGTTGCCCATGCAGTCTCGTAGCTTTCACTCACTGCCCATGATTGCGCAACAACACTCACTTGCTTTCGCCAAATGGGGTTTTCCCTTCCAATGCGCCAGAGCTTGGCCCTCTTGTTTTGGTCGCCGTACATTGTGTATAGTCACTTTTTCCAGTCATGTGCGGTTTACCAAAAGCCATAGCTTTGCCAAGTGAAACCCCCAGACGGCTGGCGCGGCTTCTTTTGCAGGATGGGGCGCCGTACGTCTGGGACGGCTTTGCCAGTGCGGCGGAGATTCGCGAAGCGAACCATGCCCTCGAGGAGATGTTTCAAAGGCTTCTCCGATGGGGCAAAGTGGGCTTCAACTCTTGGGGAGCCCGGGCCGGTTCCTTGGTGGTTCAACCAGCCATCCGGTTTCTGAGCTTTCTGGCGAGTGTTTTGTCGGGGCTTCCATTTAACCCACTAAAAATTAGTCACTTTTAGCGGAAAATCTGAGGACAGAACTATTGGCTACTTCTTGGACCAGGCTGCAGGTGCTAGTCCTTATTTACCAGGTTTCCATTTGGGCACCATTTTTGTTGACCCACACCCAAATATTGTTTGGGCAAGTCAAATTGCCAACCTTGACGTAAGGGCAGAAACTCTTGGGTTTTCTTGGAAACCTTGACGCATCTTTGGGTAGGCTCCATGTGATTGCTCCGCATGATTCGCCCATCTTGGGCCCCAAAAGAGCGTTTTTTTACTCGAGAACCTACCGAAACATCGGTTTGCCGCCCTCCCTCCCATGCCAACCTCCTCAAATCACAGGGAAAGGAGTGTTGAAAAGGGGACCCCCCGAAATCTGTTTGCTTCGCGTTTCCCTTCAAAGCAACCCCAATATTTGGGGTATCAACTCAAACAAAGACCTCTAAATGGAGAAAGCAAACGCAAACTTGGTGCCAACTCAAAAACGGCCACCCCGCAGCCCCCAAATGAACCCCAATTTTTTGGGGGGTACCAGCTCCAAAAGGCCGCCGTTCTTGTCTCTAAGAAGAGGCGGCAGCTGACCCGGGGCAGCGGTGTCTGGGTGGACGAGTGCGCGGAGGGTGGCCACGCGCGGAACCGGCGCGCGCTGGCGGGGCAGCGCCGGGAGGACGCCTGCGGGTTTTGGGATGTGCAAGGCGCGCACTGGGCTTGACGAAGGCAGCCTGGCGTGTCTATGTGCGTGGTTTCCTTTGAGGTTGTGCCGCCCATTGGTTTCTGTGTGAGCGGATGGTCGAGTGTCGAGTCTGGGTGTAGACGGCCCCAGGGGTGGGGGTGGGGGTTGGGGTGGGTTTTGGAGGGTGGGGTAGGAGTTAGACAGGGGGCTTTCCCGTCCGCATTTTGCCATCCGGTCCTAGGGTCCCCCCCACACTTTTGGGCACATTCTGAATACGCCCACTAAAACAGCCCATTTTCAACATTCAAATTCAATCACCCACCCAATCCAACGCCAAAAAACACATATTCACATACCCATCTTCATTTCTTACCCCATCTCAACATCACCCTTACACTCATTCAATAACAACAATCATAACTACATACCACCTCAACAAACCCCACCAACAAAATCCAAGCTACATACCAACATTTTTTCATTCCCAAGATCGCAACCCCAAGATCTCAATAATTTCTCCCTTGATCCAAACTGCAACCCTTTCCCATTTCCAACAAATACGAACAGTCTAAAAAAGAACCCTATGTTCGCCCCGAAAAATGGTTAACCAATGGAAAAGGGAGAATTAAAACCGTTAACCCAAATCTTGAAAACAATCCCAGTAAAATATGGATGGCAAAATGCGGATGGGAAAGGCCTATGTAGGAAAGCACCCCCCACGGCTTATACGGGAAAATTAAACTATAATTATAACATATAGTTTCTTACATGTTATAATTATACTATGGTTTTAATCATCATCATCTCTGTATTCAGGTAATTTAAATTCTGGACATTCTACAAATTTAGTGTTATGTGCAAAACACCTTCTACAATATTCATTGTCGTAGATGTATTTAACAACTTTACTAAAGTCTCTGATCATATTATTGAATTAAATTTTGGTCCTTCGCAACAATAAGCTATTCTGTTAACATCGTTATTGTAAATGCCTCTATATATGTTTCTTAATATGCTTATCTTGTCAAACGAGAACTTGAATTCTACTTTCAAGTCTTGTTTGTCAGGAAAACTATGACAGCGAGAGAATAAGTAAATATATTCATTTATGGCTGTTCCTCTTTCGGGGTTTTTAACTGCCATTTTTCTCCTTCTCGCTGACTTGCACCCCTCGCATTCTTCATAGTTAAATTTACACATGTTATTGATGATATTACTTGACAAGTTTAACTTACTTAACTCAACTTTCTCGTCATTTAACTTACAATAGCAGTCAGCAACACGTTTATCAAATATGTTTAGCATGTCATTTGTATAGATCTTATTTAAGAATTCATTCATAATTTCCTCTTGTTCAATCTCAGTAAATACTACCATTCCGATGCTAACATATATAGGTAATATTTCTTTAAATACATGTTCAGAGAAATTATAATTTATAGAAATAGTTTTACCACTATAATTACAACATATAAGATCTTACATGTTGTAAGTATAGCAAAACTATGGTATCAAAGGCTTTAATCTATGTATTTCCTTAATTCTATCATACATTTTGTGAAAATCCTTTCTTGGCTTTGCTTCGTCGCATTTACTGCAAGGATAAACCTTTGTGCATCCTGTTTCTTCTTCGTCATCTGTAGAACTCATAATATTAGTTATGCCAATATGTCTTTAAACGGATTTTCAGAGAAAACTGTATTCAATCAAGAATAAATCCCTGTATCTTCATCATAGTCGATTTGATAAAATGTCATAGTTGAAGCCTTCGGTTCTTTAATTTCTTTGTTATTAAGTTTGTTTAACTAAATATTTCTTTTATTTTTATATTCACCATTGGTTCGATCTACTTCTTTACTTTGATAACTGTTTGTTAACGGTTTCTTCTTTTCCATTTCTTGCAAGATTTCTAAAATATTATTATTCTGTTCTAAAACCTTGTTCAGTTGTTTAACAATCTTTTCTAATCCTTCATCCATGTAAATATATATATTATATTATAAAATGAAACTTTTAAAACTAAACTTTTATTTTACAAAATCATATATCATTATAAGTCAATTCAAAATTAGTTATTGTGTAACTCGTTAAATTATTATTAAATTTACCAATTAAATTACAAATATTTTTGTAATTTTTGTTTGAATATTTATGAAACTTTTCAATATTATCTGTAATATAAATTATTAAACATTTAATACATTCAAACACATTAACAACATTAATGTTACTATTTGTGTGAATATTATTCATTTTTCTCAATGTAATTTCATAAAACTGAATAGCATTTTTATTATCATAATTAGCAATAAATCTTAAAGTATATGAATATATTCTTTTACAATAAAATTTTAAATCTGATTGTTCAAATAAATCAGCATAATTAATAGAATTATAAAACATGTTAAAATCAATTTTACTATTTCTAAAGTCATTAACAAAATTAATTAATATATCATTTTCGTTATATTCTTCAATAACAATATTTAATTTCAATTCCTTTACATCAATGAATTTAATAATATTATTTATAACATCTTGCATTATAAATAATAATGGAAATAATTTTAACTATTATGTTTCATCATTTCACGTATAGTTTTCTGTGTGTCATGATCACCATTATCGGATGGAGTAACTCCCCTCCCAAAGCGTATAGCAATATTATGAACATCTGTTTCTAAGTTGATACTGTCTTTAGTTTTATCAATATTCATTTTCTTATCATTCTTACTTAGTTTGAAACTTGTCGGAATACACGAACATTTGCAGTTTCCTTTCTTTTGTATTTCTAATTCATTTTTCATTTCTAATATTCTTTTACACATTGGACAAGCAAACTCAATAACTGATGTCTCTTTAACAACTTCTTCTTTTTCTTCATCAGTTGAAGAAACAACTGGTTCAGTCTTATTCTTTTTCTTTCTTCCCATTTATATTAATATTTACATTTCTATTTTTGATATTTTGTATCACAAACTTAATTATTTCTAAAACAAAATAGCATACTTTCTTGCATCTATTATCAGTTATAACAACTTGTTCTATATTCTCTACTTCATCTATTATATTGATATAATCCGAATAGCTTCTATTCATATAAAATAATAAATATAACATATTTTCTAAATAACTTTAATATTATTTTATTATGTCAGATGTTCCAATAATAAAGCCAATAAACATAACTGAATATGAATTCAAACAATCTAAATATGAGCACGTGCCAAAATTACCATTTAGAAGTATTATAGTTGCTTCTTCGACAGGTGGCAAAACAGTCTTGGTTCAGAACCTTATCTTAAATGTTTATAGAAATTCATTTGCAAGAATATTTAGATTTTCCCCCAGCGTTCATAATGACCCAACCTTTACAGAAGTTAAAAAATATATCAGGGATGAATTGCACGTGGATGATGAAAAAGAACAAATATATTTTGATAATTATAATCCAAGTGATTTAGAAAATGTAATTGAAAGACAGAAGAAAATAATTAATTATATGAAATTAAAAAGATAAAGAAACTACATTCAATATTAATCGTTATAGACGATCATGCCGACGACCCTAAATTTGTGAGATATAGTAAATTATTACATGGATTATGTACAAGAGGTAGGCACGATGCAGTAAGCGTAATTTGTTCAACACAGAAATATAATGTGTTGGCGCCTATCATTCGTTTAAATGCCAGTTCATTATATATTTTAGGTTGAAAAATGCCAGTGAATTAATGAGTTTTATTGAAGAAAATAGTGCCATTGTTGATAAACAGCAATTATTAGATATGTATCATCAAGCAGTGAATTTTGCTCCATATTCTTTTTTCTACGTGAATATGAATTCAAAAGACATTAACAAAATGTTTCATATCAATTTTGAACAGGCATTTCAAATTACAAATGATGAATAAAGATATTCTAATTTAATATAATCTAATAATATGCTAATGAAACTATGTAGATGTGGTGGATTTTATCGTAGAGGTAATTACAATTTTCATACTAATTCTTGGATACATAAACTTTATAAAGTGTTAAAAAGACGACCAACAGACGAGGAATTATTAAGATTTCAAAATAATTTTGTTATGAAGAAGATTTAATAGATGATATGTGTAGCAACGCCTCAACAAAATTACCCGAAAGTGAAATGACAGATTATGATAGTAATTAATAATATTAATGTATGTTAATATTATCAATTTAAAATAATGAATAATTACATAATTGAACAGGTAATTTATATATTAATTTGTCAGATTTTTATTTTTCTAATTTCTCAATTCGTGCCACACATTCTTGAAGAGATTTAATAATTAAAGTGTCTGCTCGTGTTTTCATCTATACTTAAAACCTTAATGTCTTCCAAACTATTATTTTCATTATTTTTACTTTGAAAAGCACCCATTATATATAATATTATTTAGATTTCAATTTTTCAAAATTATATTAACCAGGCTCCCGCCTGCTGCCGCCGACCCTCGGCGCATTAAGGGAAAAGTCACAAGGACCGTCCTGAAACACGTCCGCAAACCCAGGGACCACTTACAAGATCCTCTACGACCACAAACAAGGATTAACGGAAAAGTCAGAAATAGGGCAGCTAGTCCGTTAATTACCGCTTGGGCCGGCTTGCGCCCAAGTCACTTCGAGTTGGCCCGGGAGCAGTCGCCTCTCCCGGGGTCGCCCTGAAACTGGCCCTCCCGAAGTTGACCACAAACAAGGATTTACGGAAAAGTCAGAAATAGGGCAGCTAGTCCGTTAATTACCGCTTGGGCCGGCTTGCGCCCAAGTCACTTCGAGTTGGCCGGGAGCAGTCGCCTCTCCCGGGGTCGCCCTGAAACTGGCCCTCCCGAAGTTGCCCTGGACTGGTTGCCGGCAGCAGGCTGGTCCCAGTCTGGCGCGGTTTGACTTGACGTATTGGACTCTCTTGCAGAATAGATCCAGGGATCCTCTACTACCACAAGGACGTCAATAACCGCACGGGCCGTCTGGAGCGGTTTGAGGTGGCAGCACAGC